GGTGGCGGGAGGGATGCTGGGATCATTGGTGGTGGAGAATGGGCACTGGTGGAGGGATGGGTACTCGATCATTGAATGACTGAAACATAAGCGCAAAAGTTTGTAAGTCAGTAACTGTACCCCATGGTGATTCATTTAAAAATTAAAAAAGTAAATACAATTTGAAAAATAATTTTCCTTTTCTATTTCACTTTAAAAAGAAATCTGAAGAAAGGTGTTTATATAATATATATATTCTTATTTTTTCCCCCTCTTGTTTTGGTTTTGGAGCACACTCAGCTATGCTCAAGGTTTACTGCTGCCTCTTGACTGTTCAGGGATCATTTCTGCCAGGGCTCAGGAGGCCATACGGAGTGTTGGGAGTTGAACTTAGGTCAGCCACATTCAAGGCAAGTACCGTATCTGTTCTCTCTAGCCCCCAGTGTGTGAGTATATCTTATACCTCACCAAAGTATCAATTCTGGCAAACAACTAAAATAAGAAAAGCAAACTGTGCATACTTTAGAAAACAATATAGAAGACAAAATTCATGATTTTGCTATGAAAAGATTTTTTTTTTAGGAAACAAAATGACAAATGGTCAGGCTGAAAAATTCATCATATTAAATTTGAGAGTATCTATTTTTTAATCAAAAGATGTCAATATGAGAGATAAATTCATAAATTAAGGAAAAAATATATAACTGGAATGAAGAACTAACAGTAAGAACTTGACAACTCAAAAGAAAACAGGCAAAAGACAGAAACAGAATCCAAATGCCCAGGGGGTATGGTGCTGCCAGCAGGTCAATCTGTACCTGTGAGGTGAGTGCATCAGCAGCCTGATGGTGCCTTCAGACTTCCAGATACCCCCAAATTGCTGCTGTGCCTTTGGCCAACCCCCCAAAAAACTTGGGGCAAAGTTTACCAAGAAAGTAAACAGCCAAAAGTTAGGTATGTGGGAGACACACCCACAAACCACCTCCGGCTCAGCTATACAATTGGAGGCATGGCCTCTCTGGTTCCTGATTGAACTGCTTGATGGCCATGAACCAGAAACTCAGAAACAAATCTTAAAACCCGACAAATTTTGGTATAAATGTGTCCAATCTCTAAAGTAGGTTACAGGTGCTAGGCCATCCCAGGTGGGAAGAGGTTTCATGCCTTGGCCTGTTCCCCCTGATGGCTCAGTGGCTGCCATCCTCCAGAGGCCACTGGACAGTCAGATTTGGGCCAACAGTGACAAGACATGTGGGGACTCATGGGATGGGGGTGGAGCCGGCCCTTCCCTCCCCATCCCAATGAGACCCCAAGTTGCTGCCCACAAATGACCTCTCTGGCTCCTCATCAAGCTGCTTAATGGCTATGATCCCAGAGACTCAGAAACAAATCTCGAAACCCAGCGGCTTTTGGCAGAAATGGGTCCGGACCCTGCAGTAAGTTACTGTTGCTGGGTCACCCCAGGGGGGAAAGGGTGCTGTCCCTCCACCTGCTCCCCCTTGGTGGCTTGGTGGCCACCATCCGCCAGAGGCTATTGGACAGTCAGGTTTGGGCCCGCAGTGACGAGACATGCGGGACCTCACGGAATGGCTGTGGAGCCGGCCATTTCCCTCTGACCCCAATGAGACCCCGAGTCACCGCCAACAAACAGTGGCCTCTCTGGCTCCTGATCAAGCTGTTTAATGGCCATGATCCCAGAGACTCTGAAACAAATCGTGGAACCCAGCGGCTTTTGGCAGAAATGCAACCAGTCCCTGCAGTAGGTTATTGGCGCTGGGCTACCTCAGGTGGGAATAGGTTTCGTGCCTTGGCCTGTTCCCCCTGGTGGCCTGGTGGCTGCCATCCTCCAGAGGTCATTGGACAGTCAGGTTTGGGCCATCAGTGATAAGACACGTGGGGCCTCATGGGATGGGGGTGGAGCCGGACCTTTCCTCCCCGTCCTAATGAGACCCCGAGTCGTCACCCACTAATGGCATTTTTGGCTCCTGATTAAGCTGCTTAATGGCCATGATCCCAGAGACTCAGAATATTGGAACCCAGCAGGTTTTGGCAGAAATCCCTCTAGATTTAATTGTTAAAATATCAGAATTTCAAAATCGCGCGGTCACTACTGTAGCCACGCGACATCATCTGTTATTCATAACCAGCAATAGAAAACAAATTGTCTACTGTTGCCTTTTCAGCAGATCTGAGTGTTGGGGTAAAATCCTAAATAATAATGGTGGGTCTGGTGTCAAAATATTTGAATGTGATCAAAGTAGAGAGAGAGTAATGTGGAAATCATCTGCCCCACAGGTAGGGGGAGGGTGTGGGATGGGGGTATACTGGGATTTTTGGTGGTGGAGAGTGGGCACCGGTGAAGATACGGGTGTTTCACTGTATGACCGAGACCTAAACGCGAAAGCTTTGTAACTGCTCTCACGGTGATTCAATAAATAAAATTATAGAAAATGAAAAAAAGCTCCCCGTGATGTATTCAATATGCCAAATACAGTAACAACAAAGTCTCACAATGGAGACATTACTGGGCCCGCTCGAGAAAATCAATGAACAACAGGAGGACAGTGACAGTGAAAAAAAAAAGTAAGGCGGAGTTCATGTCCAATTCAATCAGCTAATCAGTGGCTGAATAAGTAGCAGTACTCCTACATTAAAAAAAAAAAAGAATCCATATGCCCAACAAATATGAAAAATGCTCAATATCACTAGTAACTAACGGGACACATTAGAAGCATCATGAAATGTTATTGTATAACCATTAGGTTGTCAAAGAACACAGAAACAAGAGTTTACAAAGCCCGACCATTACATGTTGGTATAAAGGAGGTTTGTTCTTGCTGGTGTAAGGGTAAGTTGAAGTGGTCATACTGCAAAGCGATTAGCATAAGTACTTGAGCTAAACGGTCACACAACCTGATTCTATCACAAGAAAAATACACAAAAAAAGTCTTCACTGGGTGATCTTAAAGATGGTTAAGAATAAGATTAAGGGTCAACTAGATAGTAAGGGGTTAAGGCACTGCCTTACTTTTTAATTTTTCTGGGTTTTGTGCCATACCCAGCCGTGCTCAGGGCTAACTCCTGGCTGTGCACTCAGGGATCACTTCTGGTACAGCTCTGGGGAATATATAGGCTTCTGGGGATTGAATTGGGGTCATCTGTATACACACTCAAGAACCCTAAGGCACTTGTCTTGCATGTGGACAACTAGTTCAATCCCAGCACCCCATCAAGTACAGCCCAAAAAACCCAAATCAAAACAAAACAAAAAAACTTCTAGACTAGACCCATAAATTCAACATCAACAATAAAATAAAGCAAGAGCAATGCTTACATAAATAATTATTGGTGACTTCTATATATACAAAATATTATTTCAATAAAATGTCAGTAAATAGTATTTCATTTTGATTTCAAGAAAAAAAAAAAAGAACTGCCGAATCAACCCAGAACTTCTGTGTTGACTAAATAGCCCAACATCCATATGAACACTGTATGATTCTATCATGCAAGCCCCAAGAAAGGCAAAACTAAGAAATATCTATCTGTTTGTACATTAATCCATCTATCTAGGTTAGGAATATATAGAAAAGTAGTTAAACTGAAAAAAAGAAAAACAACTCCAAAAACAAAAAAATCAGAAGGCAGATGACGAATACAAAGGTACCTCTGGTACTTTACTATTTAGGGGAAGAGGGGGAATGCAAGGCAATTGCTGAGCTCAGAGGGACTCCTATGTGCTGTGCTGTGCTACTCAATATGATAATATCACTATACCATATACTATGGGCCAGAGCAATAGCATATTGGGTAGGGTGTTTGCCTTGCATGCAGCCAACCTGGGTTCAATTCTTTCACCCCTCTCAGAGAGCCTGGCAAGCCACTGAGAGAATTCCACCCGCACGGCAAAGCCTGGCAAGGTCTCCGTGGCATATTCAAGATTCCAAAAACAGTAGCAACAAGTCTCACAATGCAGACGTTATTGGTGACCGCTCAAGCAAATCGATGAACAGGAGGACAGTGACAGTGACAGTGACCATATACTATATCACCCGCTGTTCTAGAACTCATCTAGAACAAAGTGATACAATACTAATCTAGGAGGCAGAATTAGCAAAGCAGGTTTATTTTTAAAATATAAGTGGTACCCTTTGTTTTAAAACATTTTTCATGTTTTTTTTTTGTTTGTTTGGTTAAAAGGGGCAAACCCAGCAGTGCTCGGGGGTTACTCCTGGCTTTGCTCTCAGGATTTACTCTTGAGGGGACCATATAGGATGCCGGAGATAGGACCCAATTGGCTGCGTGCAAGACAAGCACCTTACCCGCTGTTCTCTCTCTCTTGCTCTTAATGTGTGTTCTAAAAATGAATGCTGCTTATGTAAAAAATGTTTAATTATATATACTTCACCAGAGGTGATATGATTCACAACTTACACAAAATTAAAGGACAAATATGGCAGGAAATGTGGTAGGATCAGGATTGGGAAAGAAACGTTAGCCATTGTTAACACTTGACATAAAGACTGTATCTGATCCGGACTGGAATGATAGCACAGCGAGTAGGGTGTTTGCCTTGCATGTGGCCAACCCGGGTTCGATTCCCAGCATCCCACATGGTCCCCCAAGCACTGCCAGAAGTAATTCCTGAGTGCATGAGCCAGGAGTAACACCTGTGCATCGCTGGGTGTGACTCAAAAACAGGAAAAAAAAAAAAGACTGTATCTGATCTAAAGTCCTGTGCTTTTTTAGTAGGAAGAGAGCAGGAAGTGTCCTATGTCCAGAGTATCGTTGATGGAACGGTGTGGAGAAACCCAACTAAGTAGTAGAATCCACACAAAATGAAGCAAGAGGCGGGAAAGACAAGAGCAGAGGGCTATTGCTTGGAAGTATTTCGGATTATTCATCCTTCTCGGATGACTGAGTCAGCGTGTGGATGTCTTAGTTGCTTTGTATGCTTTTGGAAAAGCAATAAAGTTGCAAAGAAACTAAATCCTCATGGCAAGAGCCATGAGGGTTCTTGCCTTGTCTGCAGGCGTCAGTCTGGCCCAGGGCTTATCTGCTCGGCGATCGTAGTCGGGAGAATCGGTGACTTCCACGTACTCGTTAAACCGCAGGATCCTTCGAGCTTGGAGTTCTGCCACCGTGGGTCTCAGGCTGAGCTGCAGAGGATGGGGGTGGGGAAATGACATCAGTAAGCCACTCACAGCCTCCCAGTGGCAAGTTTTCTCTAGAGCACTTCCAAGTTTTGGTGAAAGAAGGTCACTTTCAGATTGGGGGGAAAAAAAAAACAGTAGCCTTGGGAATTTCTAATGAGAACTAGAAAGCAGTGTGCCCTAATTTTGCGACTATAAAAATCATCATTGTTAGATAGGTCACCGTCTTTGGCAACCATCTGCGTGATGCTATTCCTCCCCCCCCCCCCCCCCCCCATTCCTCCAGTTTCCTGGCACTGGGATAAAGGCATCTGTCATCCCTGCAACAGGGAACATGGACAAACAGACACCGCAGGAATCTAGATAGAGGATGGCTGGTTTGGGGGTGAGCACCCCAAGTTCTGCAACTTTCAGAGAGGAGACTAAAACACACTCTGCTCTGATGACAGGAAGCCTGTAAGACGGAAATGTACCATGTTAGAACCAAAGAAATGGTCCGGCAGCTGGGGGCCAGTTACAACCTCCACCGGGTGGAAAGACCAGCCCGGCCCCCTCAGAAATTCATCCTGGGGCCTCGGATGGCTGTTGGGCAGCAATGAGGAGGAGAAGATGGTACAGAAATGCCTTCTAGGGGAGCCACAGCTGCTGAGAGTCAGTGGCACCCTGGAGGGCACTTCTGATCATTCGGCTTCCTCTGACGCCCTGTCAAAATCAAACTTAGAGTTAAAGCCACCAAATCCTTTCTCCAGTATCCTCTCTTGGTCCTTTCTTAAGCCCAGGAAGAAGGCAAGAGTGGTTCTAAGTGCTTCAAGAAATCTCGCCTCTAGGTTTACTGGCATCAGCTACTCTTTGCTACCAAAGTTCACACTTTTGTGGTCTTTTTCAGGGGCAAGGTATCATCCCTGGGGGCCCCCTCCTTTTCCTTCCACTCATACTGCTCCACACCGAGCCAGACTCTCCAGTCTAAGTGATCTCTGGAGGTAATCCTCATTTGCAAGAGGCTTGAGCATGGCACATTGGTGGTCAAAAACAAAAAACAAAAAAACAACAAAAAAACCCTTTTCCTGAACCTCAGTTTCCTGCTGAGCAGAAATGGAGTCTGAGCTATGTCGATGATCTAACATTCAAGGCATACATGGGCGCTTGGAAGTCCTGGGTCTACAATCTGAACCAGCCTGAGCTTGGGGATGGCAAATGCAGCTCCTTCTAGCTTCCAATAGACCTGGCAGGCAACGGATAAAGGAATAGTGTAAGTGGTTGCGTTAGACTTGCAGCTGGGGTGTCATCTGTAGCACTAGCTCCTCAACTGCCTCTCCAGAGAGGGGCAGGTGCCCACAGGGAGAGAAAGCCTTGCCCCACGGGACGGCCCAAAGCGACTGGCCCCACAAGTGAGAAATTCTCCCTCCAGTCTCAACCTTCAGGAATGGCGCCCATCACGGGCTGGCTATTTGGGCCATGGGTAACCTGCACTACGGCACGGAACTCTAGGCGATCAAAGCAGGTGGGGGCAGGGTCTGAATGGTCATCTTCAGGCTGTAAGTGGGTAGAACTGCTGACCTTGCACCCAGCCCACGTGGGTTTAAGATCCAGCACCCCGCTTGGCCTCCTGAGTCCTACCGGGAGTGATCCCCGAGTGCAGATGGGATCAATAAGCCCAGAATAGAGCCAGGTGTGGCTCAAAAAGAAAATGCTTTTTATTTATTTATTTTGTCTGTGGACTCTCCAGTGATTTCAGATATCAATGAGTTAAGCGACACTTCAATGCAGGTGCCATAGTTTATCCACACTATGTTTCTCTGGGTGTGAAAGAATGTGCCGGAAAAATTGCTGGATAAACATTTGTAATGTTTAAGCAGAGATCTGTTCTAAGGCTATTAATTTTTTAATTATTGTTTTTCTGGTGTTGGGGACTGAACCCAAGATCTACATGTGCAAGGTGAATGCTCTGTCCCTCAGCTACGTCGCCAATCCTATTATTTTAATACAGAAAACAAAATTAAACAAACTATGGGCCTGGTATCAGTCTTCTATTCGCATAAATGAGTGGAAACAGTTGCCTTAAGTTTGGCAAGTACGCATTCTGTTAATTCAGGCAGTATTAAAGCAGGCAGGTAGAATCAATAAGTTCGCTTCATAAATTACTTACCCAGCTCAGATATGGAATAGTGAGTGGCAAATACTTGGTAGCAATAAAAATAGCTATTTAATATTTTAGGACTACATGGGAGGCAGAAACAATTTTAATACTACACTTTGAAATGTTAGTAATCACTAACTCGGAAGGAAAATTTTAATCATTTCCTTTTCCTTTTTTTTTGTTCATTTTAAAAACTCCTTTCTGCATTAATTTTTTCACACAGATTATATGTTATTTTTACAAGCAGGAAATGCAATTTAGAACTCTGGATTACTAACTTTCCAAAAGTTAGATATCATGCAATTACAAGTAAAAACACAATTTATATTGCATGCATTATGCTGATTATAAAGCCATGATCAGTTTAGTAGACTAGTAGGAATAATTATCCCTCAACATCAAATTTTCATGTAGAGAGATAATTTGCATTTAGAAAATGAAGTATATCTCAAAACACAGACACTCAATTAGTATTCATAGTTTCATCACCTTTCTGCTGAGTCTGCGTTTAAGTTCCATTTTTGCTTCTTGTTCTTCTTCTTCATTCTTTTCTGTATATTAATGAAGGGAAAGACATGATAACTCAGCTACTGTAAATGATTTTACAATCAGAAAAAAGTAAATTAGATCACAATTATTTTACTCCAGCAGATACTGATCTCCACAAACATCTTTGAAAAATCTGTCAAAGGATTTTACAGGAAATCAGTCATAATTACATACATTATGTACGTAGATATGTGTATATATATGTATATATATGGAGAGAGAGGGAGAGAGAGAACTTTTTCCCTATAGAAATTGTTTTTCAATTGTAAACTTCTTGACTTTTATTCTATTTAAAAAAAAAAAAGAAAAACAAAACCCAGGAATGTCGATATAGCATTTTCCAGGTCAAAATATTTCACTGCTGATCATCTCATGGGCTTATAAGCACAATTCTCAGAATTCAGATAAAAATTTACTTCTGGATTTAGTCTTCATGGGAAAATCTGAGACATATCAAAAGAACAAATTAGAACCATCTGATGCATGTCTGAGTTGCTGATTCCCATTCAAGTCCAACCAAAATACTTGATTTGTCTACTCTGGTTTCCATAGAAGCAGAATATAATCATTTCTTTGGATTTCACTTTCAAACCAGAACGTTCTGAATGGGGTTATGATGTACTGTTGTTGGAGATTATTTATTTTCTTGTGACTCTGACTTTCCAAAGTCTTCTCTTTCTCTAGTGCTTTACCAAGCAGTACAATTTAATAGCCAACTTAAATGAAGGCTTTTCATCAGATGGAATCAAGGGGAAAATGTCCAAAAATTTAAAAGAAATAAACACACTTTGGGATTTGAATGGTTATGTATTTGATTAACATCTCTCTGTTGTTTCAGCATATCATTGTCCAAAAAGTGAGCAAAGATTTTTACTACTTAGATAATAATGCTTACAAAAGTTTATCTTTTAGAAAGTACTCTTAGGAATTCTATTGTAGGAAAATCACATTGGATAAAGGGTCAAACAAAATAATCAAAAATAAAAATATCCTTTACTTATTTATAAATAAAATTTATAAATAAATTTCTATCTTTAAGAGATTTATTATTAGTAAGATGAATGTTATCATGAGTAAAATGTCAACAAGGTAGCTGAACATTTTAAGTTCTCTGTTAATTTTCCTTAATTAGATGGAGGAAAGTTCCTTTCTAAATTCATCTAATTCAATCCACCCAAATGAATAATTCTTTTAAATAATTCATTTCATTTTTCTATGAAAGAGAATGATCGCTCTAGTTATTTAGACAAGGAGTAAACTTGTTCTGCAAGATAAGAAACAACTAGTTCCAGGGTCCTAGAGGTAGAATGGTGTTATTAAGGAACTTGTCCTGAATGTGTTTGACCCTGGCTCAGTTCCCAGCACTTCAAGAGGACCACCAGATATGGCCCCCAAACAAAGAAACAGAGAAAACTAGTTAGCATGCTTTCACTTAGTGCCTCTGAGTGTCCATCAAATTTGGCTAAGGCTCAGATTTCTTCCTATGAAAATAGGAGGCTTTGGGGCTGGAGCGATAGCACAGCAGGTAGGGTGTTTGCCTTGCACATAGCAACCTGGGTTTGAGTCTCAGCATCCCATATGGTCCCCTAAGCACCGCCAGGAGTGATTCCTGAGCGCAGAGCCAGGACTAAGTAACCCCTGAGCATTGCTGGGTGTGACCCAAAAAGAAAAAAAAAATAGGAGGCTTTTCTAATGGTTTCACAAGACATGTATTTTTTGATATACTCAAAATACATCTTTAAGGTAAAAATAGATGTCACAAGAGTTGAATGAGGCATATGAATTTTAAATTAAACAGAATTTTAAATTTAGGTAAATGCCAGACCTGTGGTTTATGTGATTTAAATCAGGATATTACAAGATCAGGCCATAGATGATATAATGAAATGAAAATGTAACGCTAAAGAAATTTCAATCATTCTTTGTATAAAGTGATGATGCTACATTTTAAAACACGCATTTTAAAGGCAAAAAAAAAATCCAAGAGGAAGCAAAGCCGATGAATGCTTTCATTTGCCTGAAATACAAAAAAAAAATTTCCTTGAAGGAAATATTAGAAAATTTTGCCCCATGAAGCCAATGTACATCTAGGTGAAAGTGATGTCTGAAAATAATGAAGGGCCAATTGCAGTTTGGGGAGTTAAATAGAGACTTTTGGGGGTAGAAGACTCTTAAGAGATACTCCGGGTGTGGGTGTCAAGGACTCCATGGTCACTTGTTGCAATTCTTGACCAAGCTGGCCATCTGTGCAATGTGAGGGTCCAAGTGTTTGCTCGGGCCCTTAGATGACAGGGATTACCTCGGTCACCCCAGTACACCACGGGAGACTGTGTGGTGAGGCTCAAACTCAAGGTCAGTCCATGCCCAGGATGCTGGACTATCTTGTACCACTGCCACATGCTGGTTCCAGGGAATCCTTTGTTTTTTTTTTAAACACCAAGAACTTAGTTCCTTATATTTCCCATGTTGGAGAATTGAAATAAAGAGGGCGTGGAACACAGGGAAGCCAACATGACACTTTTCCCAGTCTGGAGTGAGGCATGTTGTAAAATCTCTGACAGAGAAGTCAAGGTTAAGTTTTCAACTTAGTTCTGAAGTTTCCACTGATTCTTTCTGCACCATTTCCTTCATTTCTGACTGACCGGAAGGCTAATTGTAAAGTAGGACATATGTCTTCTGGTGACTTTAAGTAGTCTTGGCAGGCTATTCTTGAAGGAAGCAATGTGACTCTTTGACTAATGTTGCCCTCTCCTTTGAGTAGAGAGGGGAAAACATTTTAGAATAGCCACAGGAAGTACTTTCCATAAACATACAAACAATACATGTGGTTGAAGAGCACTGTGCATGACAGGAAACCTGCTTGTCTAGTATTGCCCAGAGTCTCCTGTAAATGGGCTCAAAGGAAAAACAAGAAACTCTCAGAAATGGAAGCAACTGGAATACTTTATTTCTGAAATTACTGCTGCAGCGAAAGTATGTTTTTAAAACCAAACCAAACATTTCTGTGGCTTTACTTCGCCCCCTTTTTATATGCATCCATATGACTATTAAGAATAAAAATGAATGAAAATACATGTATAGGCTTACTGTGATATGCATCAAAAATAAGGCTGCTCAATGGATAGATACTAAAGCAAGATGTAATGAAATAAGGTGTAAATGGTAGGTAGATCGGTAGGAAGTGTACAAATTCTTTTAACTTTAGGCATATATTAAAAAATTCAACATACAATGCAGAGGACACATAATGCAAAATTCAATGGCTATTTCCTCGACAGGATCATTGGAACTGCAATGAGTTGAATAAGCTGAGTGAATATACATTTCTGTCCCTGTTTCATAAAAGGTGTTGCACAGACATCACTACTAGCAAAAACTAATCCTTTCAGGAACCAAAATTCACATTTCATTTTAGCAACATTAGGGACCTTGTTCTAAAATGCACTACTAATTAAAACTCAGTACCTCTGCTTAAAAATACACTCAAAAGGCATTCACACAGAACCGAGTTCAAGCCAAGGGTAATACTGAGAGTGCCACCTAGGAATAAGACTGGTTTTTGTCCTGGGTAAAAGTTGTCTGTATAGGGCTGGAGATGTACCTCAGCAGACCCATACTGTGTAAAGGGTGGAGGTGGGGGTGGGTAAGGATAGACAGAAAGAAACACAGTTAACATAGTCATTGGAGATATGTTTTTAAATTAAACTAGGGGATGTGCTCAGAATGCTGTGACTGAGTTCCCTGACCTGTAGAGAAAAGATGACCTAGTTGAAACAAAGTGTCCTTCTGTCCTTTCAAACATCCCATGGCGGGCTCAGATAGAGAAGGGACCACCAAGTAAATGATGCTTGGATGGGAGATGCATGCTGAGAGCTGACTATGGACCAAACATGATGAACACTTGGTACCCATATTGCAAACTGTAACATCCTAAAGGGCAGAGTGAGTTAAAGAGAACCTGCCTGCCACAGAGGCGGGAATATGGGGCGGTGGGAGGGATACTCGGAACACTGGTGGTGGAAAATGGGCACTGGTGGAGGGATGGATACTCTATCATTGTATGACTGGAATGTAATAAGTTTGTAAGTCTGTAACTGTACCTCAAGGTGATTCATCTAAAATAAAAAAAATTAAAAAACAAATTTAAAAAAAGCCGGGGCTGGAGAGATAGCACAGCAGGTAGGGCGTTTGCCTTGCACGCGGCCAACCCGGGTTTGATTCCCTGCATCCCATATGGTCCCCTGAGCACTGTCATGGGTAACTCCTGAGTGCAGAGCCAGGAGTAACCTCTGTGCATCGCCGGGTGTGACCCAAAAAGAAAAAAAAAACATACCATGGCACCCACAGATCTTGGTTTTCAAACAAAAGGTGAACAAGCGCAATCCCAGCAGCAGACCCCCACAGAGGCAGGGGGTGGGTGACAGGTGGAAAGGCGACCCTGGGGCTTCCTGAGCAGGCTCCATCGGATGCCCCAGTGAGCCCTCCCGGGCCTCTTGGTCTCCCCTCTGCTTCTCTTGGCCCTCAGACCTCACATCAGGAGATCAGAGGCTGGTTATCGGCCCTTCCAGAATGGAAACGTGGCTTTAGTTTCCAGAGTAAGCAGGCTTCCACAAACTATGAAGGAAGTGAAAAAACGGCTGGAGTCGCATCTGACGTTGACTTTGGCCTTTTACACTTTCCCGGACCTCCAGGAAAACAGGGCCCAAAAGCCAACACAGCACTTAAGATCAACAAGTAATAAATTTCTAGCCCTCTGAGACAGTTCCTCAAAGATCCAAACGCCCGCATGGCTTGGCTCGGCTAGTCTCACAGGAGCAGGAAAGAAGTACCTCGAATGTGCACTTTCCTTTTCCCCTCGGGAGGCATCCAAGGGAGACATAATCTCATAAATCTCGGGAGCTTATGGTCTGCATTTGTTAAAATAGCACTGAATAAATATTTTCCAGGAACCTATTATCAAGAGCCATCCGTCTTTTGGGGTGTGTTTGGTCATCAAAATTAGATACTGCTTTCCTATCTTTCAAAAGTTAAGCCACAAGTTTCTGGCTGTGTTTTCCCTTGCTAGCTTTGACCTTTTTCCTCTCGAAACTAGCACTTTTTACACATGGCGGGCCACTTCAATCCATTCTTGAGTTCTATTCCTGTGATGTCCACAAACAGCCAGTGAAAAATATTCCATGGAAAACAATCCCTCTCACTGTTCAGTGTTCACTGTTGGGTTAGGAATAGCAGTTGCAGTATAAATAAATACATTCCTAACTTTTTTCTTACCTTGAGGAAAGAAAGCATCATTGGCTGGACATTGGGGATCAGCCCGATAGGCACAACTGAATCCCAAGAACCAGACAGAAAAAGATTTGCACAGCCATGCCTCAAAACTGTCTTAGTATTCTCTGGGCTCTGTTCATCCTTGCTTTTTGGTGTTTTATTACCAGAAAAAGCATTTTTGGAACTGGGTTAATAATATATAAAACCACAGCATGGTTTCCATTTAAAAAAAATACCCATTATTTAACTCAGGGTGGCTATAGTAACCGCATTGCCAAACTATAGCAGGGCACGCCGTGCTTCAATTCACTTTATGGAACTCTCCAGCATTTGAATTCTGAGAACTTATACCAATGTGGAGAGTGAAAAACAGTCAAAGAAAATAGGAAAGTGAACTAGGACACTTAAGTGCAAAGAAATTATAAATAAATCAAGAGAGAAATAGAGTTTATCATAACTATGGAAAATAAGATGAAATGAAAATTGTCTTTTACCATAATTATTTTAAATGGAATTATTTGTTAAGCCTGCCAACAACAACGATATAGGACTATTTGATTTATTTCCTTGTGGAATATTTGGCCTTCTCTTTGACAATTATTTACAACCAGATTAGAGCATTTTCTCCTAGTCAGTATTTAGGTGAAAGGACACAGAAATATATTTTATCTCTCTTTTTGAAAAGTTTTATTTTAGAAACTGGAATTCACAGTGCTGTTAATGAATTTCATCTTTCTTGAAAAAAACTGATGCTACTACAACTCTGGTCTGGGGGTAGGAGACTCAAAAATCATACAATGAACTACAAGTGTCAATAAACAATTTTAAAATATTATATAAACAATCATATACAAATGTTATAGAAGGGGGCCATTTAATTATCTGTGGGAAAATATATTATGGTTGCTAGTGTTTAAGGGTTATGATGGTCTCTCGAGGAACTCTGTTAGTGGTGACCCAGTCACCGTACACTATAGGACACTTACGTTTTAGAATATTTCTTTGCTCCAATTCTTCAGTTGTGGGCCTCTGACTGAGTCGCCTATGATAAAAAGGTAAAACAAGATTCATGTTTATTACATTCAACAAAAGACTTCTCCAGTAGGATGCAAAAAAAAATAGTAATTCTCTATTTTTTTCCTGTTTTGAGAAACAAAAATACATTAAAATATCTAAATACTATCCCTCTTTCCATCTGCAGAAGATATTATGGTGGAGACCACAAGTCATTAATCCACTCTGACCGCAGACACTAGGCACCCCCTTTAACTATAGCTTCCAGCTACAATTTCTATCTCCCCACTAGCAAGGTGTGGTTCCATGACAGGATTCTTACAATACGATATAGACGTATTTTTTTAAACTCCCATTTTTTTACCCTCAAAATGACTGTGCACGTTCTCTCCTTTCTTCCCCCCTTCTTCACCCTCTCTCCACGCCTTGTCTCTTCCTTTGCCCCTCTTACTTATTTTGTGATTTTTTCCCTCTTATTTTATTTGGTTTGGGGGCCACATTGAGTAGTGCTCAGGGATTACTCCTTCTCTGTGTTCAGGGATGACTCCTGGTGGTATACATGGAAATTCTATATGGTGTCAGGGATTATAACTGGGGTCTGCTCGTACAAGGAAAGTGCTTGAACTCCTTTACTATCCTGTACTATGTCCCTTTACTATCTTCCTGGCTTGCTCTTCTCTTTTCCATGGACACGGGGTCCTGTAAATCAGCTTGCATCGTGTAGATTTGACTATTCATGACTGTGAGAAAAAGAGAATTAAGACAAATGGAAACCGGGTGCCACTCTGGCTGCAAGAATGGGTGAAATCTTCCTCCTCTCCCCGCCTAACCTGGACAACAGCCCAGCTACCTGCGAACATGTGAAAAATAAGCAAGCATGTGTGAAAGGGCCTCAGCTGGAACAGTCCACTCCCCTCTTTGGTCTCAGAGCACCTCAGCCTCAGCCCTGATTAAATATAGGAGGTAAAATGGTGACCTGAAAAAATACTACTGCTCAAGAGACCATACAAATTCAGGAGATGATCAATCTACAGTGTACATGTTACATGAAGTACGATTTTCGTGACATCAAATGAACTTATGATATATATTACATAACGTGCTATAAATCACAACTTAAGATACGTGTGTGTGTGTGTGTGTGTGTGTGTGTGTGTGTGTGTGTGTGTGTGTAGCACTGCAGCACTGTCCTCCCATTGTTCATTGATTTGCTCAAGCAGGCCCAGTAATGTCTCCATTGTGAGACTTGTTGTTACTGTATTTGGCATATCGAATACACCACGGGTAGCTTGCCAGGTTTTGCTGTCCAGGCGAGATACTCTCAGTAGCTTGCCAGGCTCTTCGAGAGGGGCAGAGGAATTGAACCCGGCTCGGCCAAGCCGGCCACACGCAAGGCAAACGCCCACATATATATAAAATATGACATCCAGGTCTGAATCACCGTCTGTAAATTTGTTCCTGGTCATGTTTACATCATTAATTTGCTGCTAATCAAAGGAAAATACTACCTTTGGATGGTCTCTGTGCAAATTAAATTAATATACATGAAAGTTAAACTTTAAACAAACTATCAATTCTAAATTACTGCTATCACAGAAATGTCAGAATAACAGACACCATTAAAATTTAAATATTGTATCAAAATTGAATGTCCCTTGCCTGTGACAAAACAAACACTTGTGAGCCTCAGAGCCAGGCCTCCGACCAGGATCACTTGACTTTGCTGTTTGAACTTTACAGTGACCCCGTGTGCAATCTATAATTCTGCCTCTGTACTAGAAGAGAAGGACTTTTCTAAGGCCAGAACTATGGGTTATTTCTTATTGAATGTTAGTGAGCCTGTGTGCTACAAAATTTACACTGGCATGACCAAAAACCCTTTCCTTTGATAAAAAAAAAAATCATCGCTATGGTCTGCGTGTATATTTACAGAGGCTCTCAAATTTCTGGCAGATGAAGCAGAATCCTCATATAAAACAGATCTTTGAGTTGCTGTTCTAGTTGGGTGAATTCCCTAACCATCCCACCCACAAAGCGCATTCACACTTCCCTGACTCTCTCCAGAGAAGCTCGAACATCATCTCCAAGAAACCCCAGTGAAGAAGCAAGAAAAATTGCTCCATCAAAGCCAATGTCTCACAACGTTCTTCGACAGTTCCCTGATTTTGAATGCCAGGCTTATTTTAACTTCTCATTGCCACCGACAGCTTGGAAAGAAATATATTTTCAAAATAAAGAGCTGTGTTTTTTTCCTCTCCTTTTGGATGACTTCTGCCTTGGGATGGAACTACCACATCAAGAAATAGATTTTTTTTTCATGTAAGTTATTCTTGAAAAATGCGAAAGAAGGACAATGTAAATGCACCCCATTGTTAATAAAGTTGCCAGCACTGGATTTAATTTTCAGCATTTTATTAAATATGTGTGTATGTGAATGATAAAAATGGGGAGGATCCCAGGTAGTGGATTCAGGGGTCTCTCCTGGTGATTTTCAGTCAACCAGACTGGATGGTTCTGCACTAAATCCCATAGCCTCCAGCCCAGTCCTCCATTAAAATAGACAGCACGCCAAAATATCCACATGGCAACACTGTATGTACACAGTATGCAGAGAATTCTTGTAATTCCAAGCAGGTAAAGGAATTTTCTCCCACATTCAAATTTCTGCCGTGGAATTCCAGGTTGAGGTACAATTCCTGTTGTTTATACAGAGCTAAATAAATCAACCAAGCAACTCAGATCTAAATGTGCTCAAACTTGATGGCTGGGAGGGCCACGGATATGGCTCAGCAACCAAAGGCATGAACCTGCATTCGACCCCCAATGCCATACACACACAAGATTCCTTTAGTGCATTCCATCATGGGGCTACCCAAAGCTCAACCTGAGATATGCGATTCCTTTCTTTGACTCTAGGGCAGAACTCACTCTCATGGCTCTCTCTGGACAAGTCCTCTTTCCCTCTCCCTCCTTCTCTCTCTCTCTCTCTGAGAGGGCCACACCCAGTGGTGCTCATGGCTAACTCCTGTGTCTGTCTGTGTTCAGGAATTACTCCTGGTGGGCTTGGGGGACTATATGGGATGCTGCAGATTGAACCCAAGTTGACTGCGAGCAAGGAAAATGCCCTGCCTGCTGTACTATAGCTCCGCCTCTCCACCCCCCCACCCCCGCTCCATTCTCTCTTTAGTAAGCAATTCATTCTCTCCCTCCTCACACTTCCTAAATAAGATTATTCTGCTTCACAGGCACACAAACTTGACTGCTGATTTGAAACTCAGAGGGACACTGAGGTAAGCACCTAAGGCTTCCTGACTTGGAAGAAACCATCTATGGAAAAGGGCAGAGGCTTATGCCAATTCAGGAATGCTAGCAAGCCCAGGAATTCTGGACAGGAATTCAGGTATGTTTACATGTTACTTATGACTATCTGCAATGTACAACAGCAAGGCCGAGCAGGTGTGGCAGAGACCTTCTCTCCAGCAAAAGCCTATAACGTTTACTAACCGGTCATTTACATACTCTGGCTGTGATGGCAAGTTTTGGGAATCTCAAAGCCATGTGGACCAGGGGACCGGGTGTTTGCATACACAAAGATCTCAGTGGTCAAGAGACTACGGAACGGGGAAAAGTATGATTGAACTGGCATTTTACTAAACTTTGAGCAATTACCTGACCAACTTCGTTCCGATCTGTTGTCGAATTTCCTGCCTCTCTTCCTCAGAGGTACTCTGTAAGATGTTTTTGTCCTCTAACTCCTTCTTAGACGGTCTGTTGCCAAGTTTGATAGCAAGAGTATCCCTTCGTCGTATTTTACTTGCTAAAGCACCTGTGGAGTGAAAAAGGCAGAAATGCAGGAGAAGAGACTTTGAATAAGTGGCACTCAGGTCACAGGTGGCCAGAGTCTAGATGAAATGCTTGGAATTCAAATTAACCCGAAGGAGAGACGTATGAAGCTTTTTAGGCGTCTCCTGAAAAGTACTGGTTACCATGAAAAAACTCACAAGTATTGCCTTATCATTTCAATTGTGATGTTTGAAATGGATTCTGCTGAGATGGTACATTGAGGAAATTACGGATTGCATAATGTGCCTCTCTCTCTCTCTCTCTCTCTCTCTCTCTCACACACACACACACACACACACACACACACACACATACCCGGTGATGCTCAGGGGTTACTCCTGGTTCTACAGTCAGTAAGTCAGTAATTACTTTCTCTCTCTCTCTCTCTCTCTCTCTCTCTCTCTTTCTCACCCGGTGATGCTCAAGGGTTACTCCTGGTTCTCTCTTGGTGCTTGAGGGACAATATGGGATGCTGGGGATTGAACTGGGTTGACTGTGTGCAAGGCAAATGCCCTACCCACTGTATTATCACTCTGCCCCACCTTTTTGCTTTTCAAGTCTTAAAATCTTATCCTCCTTAAACTGTACAGCAAACCTTTGTAATCTTTTCCTCTACTTTGAAATTGCACTCACAAAACTCTCCCTTTGATGCCAGCATTTTCATCTGAAGTTCCCTGTGACTCCTGATTTCTCATCAATTGGTAGTTAACACTAGAGTGGCAATAAAGATTTTTGTTGTTTAATACAAATCAATAGTATGTAATCAGTGATAGAGAAAACTTTTTGTGATCTATAATTGCTATAACAAATTCTTTAGTCATCCTGATGAATTTTTTTTTAGAGGCAGAGGATGTGTCTCTGTGATGGACTGACATCCAGGGTTTAATCTCTATTACCAACAACAACAACAAAAGGCATTTCCAGAGCTGGAGCAATAGCACAGCGGGTAAGGTGTTTGCCTTGCACGTGGCCAACCTGGGTTCAATCCCCGGCATCCCATATGGTCCCCTAAGCACCACCAGGAGTAATTTCTGAGTGCAGAGCCAGGAATAATCCCTGAGCATCACTGGGTGTGACCCAAAAAGTTAAAAAAAAAAGGCATTTCCAACTTCTCTCAATTATATATAACTGAATTGCCTTTGTTACTATTCCTTCTCAGAAGAAATCCCATCTCACTTATGGTTGATGGGAAATTGCTCTTTTGTTTTGTTTTCCTGGTCCATATCTAGTAGTGTTCAGGGCTTACTCCTGGCTCTGTGCTCAGGAATTTCTCCTGGTAGGGCGCACGGGACCAAATGCAGTGCCAGGGACAGAGCCAGGGTTGGCTGGGTACAAAACAAACTCCGTATCTACTGTACTATCTTTCTGACCTATGTTCTTATTTCTTACCAGATCATTCGTTTTTCTTTAAAATTTTTTTAATTGAATCATTGTGAGATAGACCCTTACAAAGCTGCTCATGATTAAGTTTCATACAGTGGTACAGTGGTCCAACACCCATCCCTCCAGCAGTGTACATTTCCCAACACCAGTGTCCCCAGGGTCCCCCCCACTCCCAGCCTGCCTCTATGGCAGGTGCTTTTCTTTTCTCCCTCCCTTCCTCCCTCCCTCCCTCCCATCCTCCTTTCCCCCCTCTCCCTCCCCCCTTTTGGGTATTGTGAGTTTCAATACAGACACTGAAAGGTTATAGGGTATGTATAACCATTTTAACACTCCATTCTTATCCAGCATCGTAATTTCCAGTATTTATTGTCATAATGGTACCTTCTCTATCTTACCTACTCTCTGTCCCCTCCCCAACCCCACAGACTTGTGATTGATTCTTACTAGATCATTCTTGATCCATTGCTCCCTGCCTCTCCTTAAATTTAAGCCCCAGTATGAGGCCCTCATGGTGAGAAATGTACACTGGTAAAGGAATGGATGCTGGAACATTATATGACTGAAACCCAATCATGAAGAACTTTGTGTATCTCACTGTGATTCGTTAAGAAAAAAAGAAAGAGAAAAATATAAATAAATAAATAAATAAATAACCCAAGTATGAAGCTGAATACATTTCCCAAATCCTTAACAAGGAAGGAGAGTAACCAAGAGAGTCTTGCGTTGATTGAAGAACGGTCCCAAGGTAGAAGGTCATAACTGATGGTTCGGAACAAGGCCTCTGTCAACAGAAACCTTCGGGCAAATGAAAATGTACATTGCAACCCAAGAGATATGGACCTGACCTTGAGGAAAGGCTGCCATCTGAACTCAAACACACACAAGCTTCGGTGAGCAGCACAGCGGCTCCTGTCCCCTACCACACTCCTCCCTGTCCCCTACCACGCTGCTCCCTGGGAAAGGGCCTTACTTTCTCCACTGCCGTCTTCGTCTTCATCCTCATCGTCGTCATCGGTGTACAGGATAGGCCCATCTGAGTCCGAGTCATTGGTCTGGTACTCCTTTTGGCCTTCGTCCTCTGAGGCACTGAAGATCTCGGAGCATTTTCCCGCCAGCCCAGGAGTCAGCAGCTGCAGTGCTGGCTTTCCCCGCTCGTCTTTGGTGCCGACACTGTCCAAGGCACAGAAACACAGGATGGTTTCCCACTGGCCTTTGGTCTGGCTCTGCAGCCCAACTTGCTGTGGCCATGATGACTGAAAACTGCCCGGACCCTCCATTATTTATCTTTCCAACCCCCCAAAGCCAGCTAACCAAGGGGGAACTAACTCATCTTATCCTGAGAACAGGCACCTCATAGGGTAGGGACCTAGGAAAGCCCCAATTCTTCCCTTCCCTTCCCTTCCCTTCCCTTCCCTTCCCTTCCCTTTCCTTCTTCTTTTCCTTTTTCCTTTCCTTTCCTTTCCTCTTTCCTTTCCTTTCCTTTCCTTTCCTTTCCTTTCCTTTCCTTTCCTTCTCTCTCTCTTTCATTTTTTTTTGGGGGGGGTCACACCTGACGATGCACATGGGTAACTCCTGGCTTTGCACTCAGGAATTACTCGTGGTGGTCCTTGGGGGACCATATGGGATGTTGGGAATCGAACCTGGGTCAGCCACATGCAAGGCAAATGCCCTACCCACTGTGCTATAGCTCCAGCCCCTCTTTCACTATTTCTATTTCCATCCTTGCCAGTATGTGGACCAAGTTGGAAGGGCTGGATTCTCTCAGGGTGTTTGTTTCTCCGTTGGGAAAACTGCCTCTCTCAACACTCTGTTTAGTAACGGAAGATGGGAAAGGTGAAAGGAAAATGGATTCTAGAAAAAAAGCAAGGTGGCTTAGTACTTAGCTTGGAAATGGTCTGTTTACTGAGCTTCAAGCTGCCGTACCTATACAAAGCTTGCCTTTTCAAAAACAGTATTTTAAAAGTATATTTATATTAAAGATATTAATGATTAATATAAAATATTCTTTGTATCAAAACAAAGGCACTTTCATTGTTGGGTACAAAAGAATCCCTCAACTGGTTTTAGATATTAATAGAAGCCTCTGAATTTAGATGTCACACTTCTCAAAGACCACTTAGTGCCAAACATGTGTTTGCTGTTCTTGCTAATGAAAAAAATCCAAGAAAAGTTCTGTGGATAATAAAATAGGTAAACTTTGCAAAATCTCAGGTATTGAAAAATTCTTTTTTGTGACAATCAGTGTCAGTGTTCACAAGAATCTAATTTTACTAGAAGTAAAAAAAAAATCAACGGTCAAATTCTTACTTTCAAAGGATAAATATAAAATTTCATTTCTTCTTATTGTTGTTTTTGGAGCACACCTGGAAGTGCTCAGGAATTATTCCTGGCTTTGTGCTCAGGGTTCACTCCAGGCAGGGCTTGGGGCTAGAAACCTGGGTTGGTCATGTGCAGGGCAAGTACTCTAGTAGCTGTAATCTCTCTCGAGCTCCTGACAATTCATTCCTTATTGTATAAACTATATACAGGACACAATTGACTATTTTAGCCATTTCTCAGTGTTATGTTCAGTGGCATTAAGTGCTTTCACACTAAAATGCAATCACAGCCACTATCTCTAGGAGTTTATTTTTTTCTCATTCCCAAATAGAATCTCTATTTACATCATAAACCAACCCCCTCATCCTCCTCTCCAAGCCCCCGGCAAACACCAGCCTACATTCTGTCTTAAGAAATTCTGCTATTTTTAGTGCTTCAGAAAAGTCAAATTCTACATTTGTCCTGTTGTGTCAACTTCAGTTAGCAAGTCTCCAAGGCTAATTCACAGGGTCAGAATTTCCTCCTCGTTTTGGACTCAACAGTACTCCATTGAGTGTGTGTGCCACCTTGGGTCCAAAAATTCATCAGCCAATGAACATTTAGATCATTTTTCACCTTTTGGTTCTTGTCATTACTGTCGCTATGAATGAACATGGATGTACAAATACCACTTAGAAAGCAGCTTCTGAGATACCTCTCTCTATGTATATGTATTCAAATATATATATATGTAACAATGATATATATCATTTTTTCACTGATATGCTTTAGTATAATTATTCTCATTAATTTATGTTTCATGATGCTTTGTGATTTTCACAGACTTTTACATATACTTGCAGAGTATAATTTCAATATAAGAAGGACAAAGACATTTATTCTTGTCTTTTTTGCTTTGACTCAGGGCTTCCTCCTGGATCTATGCTCAGGGATAGAGCTCTATGCTCACTCCTGGCAGGATTCAGGAGACCTCATGGGGTCCTGGGGATCAAACCTTGGTTGGCTGCAAAAGTTTCTTCCTTTCTGTACCATCTCTCCAGCCCCAAAATTCACAAAACCCAAGAAAGGTCAAGGTGAACAATCTACCAAGGAAACAAGCTCATCACAGAATCTAGACTTAAGAGTCCCAATCTACCTGTTAATGTTATATGGTATTGCATTTTTATTTTAAACAATTTTTATATTCGAAATATATTAGAGCATACTTAATCAAATATGAAATATCGGAGAGCCCGGCAAGCTACCGAGAGTATCTCGCCTGCATGGTAAAGCCTGGCAAGCTACCCATGCTGTATTCGATATGCCAAAAACAGTAACAAGTCTCACAATTAGTTGTGAGACTTTACTGGTGCCCGCTTGAGCAAATTGATTAACAACCGGAGGAGAGTGCTACAGTATATCCCTGAAGTTCCTGGACAGTACAGTATACTCCATAAATGTTTGTGGAAATGGGTCCTACAGAGTCAAATCTCCTTTTGCTACAAGCTCCAAACAGGCTTATTAGCTTCTGCCTTAAATTTTAACCAGACACAGACATTTCTGACGTGAACAGATTTTGACTAAATAGTGGCTAGTCTGCACTATGTGACTAGAGATCACTTTTATTGACACTTGGCCAGTGTATCTTTAAAAAGTCTTCTTTTCACATTTCTTTTCACACAGAACCCTCTTCATAAGCTGACACAACAAAATATTCATTGGCTGAACATAACCCGTGGTGGGTTCTAAGTAAAGTGAGTGACTACGAGCCAGAAATCCTAATATCCACCAAAAAAGGAGGAGAGACTTTGGAAGGAAATTTCAGTGACTATATATTCCGGGCTCACTAACTCAAGAGCAAACACAAACTCCCTCTGTGGAAAGAACTGTAATTTTCATTTGTTAAAAAATGTGAAGAAAAGAAAAAATAGAAAATCTCTAGGCTTTCTTCTAGGAAAAATTTTAAAGCTACCCTGGCTCACAGGAAAATTTAATACGAATACTTATGTCTAATGATATCCTCAATTTGCTATTTCTGACCACAGCCCCAGTGGAAATGGGGAATAGATAACTCACCTCTCTTGTCTCATAATCTGGTGTACACTTGGGTTGAAGATGAATTTAAAAGAAATTGCAACAAGGTACTTAGTACGATTCAAATCCTTTTCTCAATGCTGCTGGTAGGAACCTTCGGCTGTCTTGGTAATCTGATGCTCTAAGGAACTAACTACTTTCTGTGGAACTCCCTGTTCCTCATTCTACAAAATAATACACTCATATACTCAATTTATTTCCTTAAATTTATACTATATTTTAAAAAGTTGTACCTGATGTATGTTGGATACTATTTTTCCCCAAGTAGTTTCCCTTGGGCTGGAGCAATAGCACAGTAGGTAGAGCGTTTGCCTTGCACGCGGCCGACATGGGCAACCTGAGTTCGATTTCTCTGCCCCTCTCAGAGAGCCTGGCAAGCTACCGAGAGTATCTAGCCCTCATGGCAAAGCCTGGCAAGCTACCCATGACATATTCAATATGCCAAACACAGTAACAAGTCTCACAATGTTACTGGGACTGCTCGAGCAAAATCGATGAACAACGGGAGGACAGTGACAGTGACAGTGACAGTTTCCCTTAGCTACCAAGTCTTCCTCACTCTCATATCTGTGAGGCTTAGCCATGGCAAAGGGCATAGACGGAAAGCAAAAAGACACGTGTGGAATGACTGCTTAGCTCAGATTGTTGAAACTGCAACACTGAACACCACTCACGAGAAATGAAATGAAGACAATTTCTGTGTGCTTGAAGTATTTAAGTAAAGTAAAAAAGTAAAGGCCCTCCTGTTGATCATCGATTTGCTCGAGCGTGCCCAGTAACGTCTCCATTGGAGACTTTGTTGTTACTGTGTCTGGCATATCGAATACGTCACGGGGAGCTTGCGAGAAATATCTATTTCACTGTTTTCTAATCGTTTCATTAAAATGTCAAAGGAATGATTTTGATGGGTTTCCTTTGAATGATGGTAGCACTGTAGCATTGTCGTCCCATTGCTTATTGATTTGCTTGAGCGGGCACCAGTAACATCTCCATTGTGAGACTTGTTACTGTTTTTGGCATATCAAATACACCATGGGGAGCTTGCCAGGCTCTGCCGTGCTGGTGGAATACTCTCAGTAGCTTGCTGGGCTCTCCAAGAGGGATGGAGGATTGAATGATGGTGCTCTGATGAAAAATAAATAAATAAATAAATAAATAAAAAGAACAGGGTCAGGCGGGGATGGGGCTCTGTGGCAAAGTACATGTTTTTCATGCACGGGACCTGGGTTTGATCTCTAGCACCACTCAAAAAGAAAAAAAAGCGTTAGGGGAAAAAAAATGGGTGTGAGGATATAAGGGTCTGAGGGTCTCATTCCCCTGACCTGGAAGGAGCCTCCAATGTGGCACTTGCTAAAATCTCGGGGCTAGGACGAATGGAGACGTTACTGGTGCCTGCTCGAGGAAATCGAACAACAGAATGACAGTGATACAGTGATACAGTGAAAGGTCTGAGGTAGCTCACATACCTCATATATGTAAGGCCTCAGATTTGCATCATGAACCGTGAGAGAGGAGAGGGGAAGAAAAAAGAGAAGAAAATGAGAGAAGAGAGAGGAGGAAAGAGAGATAAGAAAGAGGGAGGGAAGAGAGAGAAGAGAGAGGGAGGGAAGGAGAGAGAGAATAGCATGAGAAGCAACTGATGTGGACAGCTCTGTACTGACTTAGAAGAATGAGCAGCTGTGTTCAAATCCTGGCTCTGCCACTCTGGGCAGTCTGGGCAAACTAGCCTACTCTCCAGCATCCATTTTTTTTCATCTGTTGCATAAGACAGGTTTCAGGAAAGACTTAAACTAATGAAGTAATGACCAGTTCTTGTCATTAAATAAGTCTTCATGACTTATAATAAGTCTTCTTCTGTGTCTTGACTCAAATCAACTTCAGGTGTTCAATTTTTTCAAGGCCAACGAGACGAAGCATTATTTTTGAACAAGGAAATAGTAAATGAAGCGCTTTCAAGAGTGGATTTTGGTTTCATTCCTAGATACAGCAAAGATGCTGAATTTAAGTATCGGGACCTTTTCCAGACAGAATATAGTGTCTACTGTACTTGCTGGAGCGATAGCACAGCAGTAGGGCGTTTGCCTTACAAGCAGCCAACATGGCCGACCCGAGTTTGATTCCTCCGTCCCTCTCGGGAGAGCCCGGCAAGCTACCGAGAGTATCTCGCCCGCACGGCAGAGCCTGGCAAGCTACCCGTGATGTATTCGATCTGCCAAAACACAGTAACAACAAGTCTCATGATGGAGATGTTACTGGGCCCGCTTGAGCAAATCGATGAATAACAGGAGGACCGTGACTGTACTTAGACAAACATAATTCCTTCATATATGTGGGTCAGGAGAGCTATCCACATGTCATTGAACACATTGTCATTGTTCAGATTAGACACAGAAAACAAAGGGAGATAGAACCTGGGAAGAATCTCCAGTTTCTGTCATGGACAATGTACCATGGTGGGCCTGGTTCCGGGTACAGAGGCCTAAATATGACCCATCTGGCTAATTCTATCCCACTTAGGGAGCTGTTAGCAACAGTCAATCCTTTCTGAAGAGCTCTGAGTAGCTTCTCAGAGGAGATGACATCTAGGCGGGCCGAGGTACTGAGGACGCAGGGGAACGCTCCGTGGCTGAACAGACAGGAACCAGAAAGAGGGCTGCTGGTCTGTACTTTCTTGGGAAAGGATAAACACCTTGTTGAAGGAAGGTAGACAGGAGTGGGTGAACAAAAGAGACTCAAATAAAAATGGAAAACAAACACTAGAAGGAAAGTGGGGGGGGGGGGGCGAAGAAAAAGGTGGGCAGGGCCTCTAACCATACTAAAAGCTACCCAGGGGAAGTGCTATTTGTCCACAGGTCAAAGGTCATTTCCACAGCCACCTGGGGCAATCCAAGGGCAGACCAGGAATACCCAACGGCTGGGTTGTAGGTGCAACCCTAACACTCCTTTCCATCACTGGGCAAGATTTAGTTTTCATTATTTAAAAATATTAATCTTTTTTTTTTCTTGAATTCATAAGGTATGATTTTTTTTTCCCTTTTTGGGTCACACCAGTGTTGCTCAGGGGTTACTCCTGGCTCTGCACTCAGGAATGACTCCTCATGTGGTGCTTGAGGGACCATATGGGATGCTGAGGATTGAACCCAGATTGGCCACGTGCAAGGCAAACGCCCTACCCGCTGTACTATGGCTCCAGCCCCAGGCATGATTTATTTTAAATCATAAAATAAAACCCACGAGGTGCTCTCACTTCTAAGAAAGTGCCATCATGGGACAATGGAGGACATTCACCGTCCTAGGGGGCACAGGTGAAATGTAGAGGCTGGGCCAGGCCCCAACTTACCATTTGAGGTTGTCTCTGCTAACAACCACTCCAGGGCCTGAGGGGACGGTGGGTCCTTCTGTCGGTTCTTCCGTCTGGTGCAGCTGCGTGAGGTCGAAGACAGGGAAGGGGGGGTCGACGCCATTGCTGACCAGGACAAAAGGCGTGTTGGGGGCCAGAGAACCCTGCTCCTCCCCAGAGAGGACGGAGGCAGGTGGAGGGGGCGGTGGGGTGGCAGGGGGCAGTGGGATGGCAGACTTGAATTTGCTGATGGCCTGGTCCTCGGTGCCAGCGACAGTCTGCTCAGGCTCCTGGCTCTCCCCCCTGGTCGCCAAAGGCTCTCCTTTCAGGTCGGATGAGCTGGAAGTGGCTGCGTCAGGGGGCGGCCGTGAGGTGGGCTGCCGGGCAGTTTTTTTCTTGCCCTTGGTGATCCCCACCGTCCCTGTTTTGCTAGACACCGTCTCCTTGGAAGCTCTGCTGCGTGACAGCGTGGAGGCAGACGAGGATGAAGCAGATGCTTTGGAGCCAGCTGTTTTTTTGGAGTGAGAGGAACCAGCTAAAACACAGAGAGATGTGGCATTAAAAAGTCAGTAGTACCAGCTGCTCTTGCCAACCGAGACAGTGTTTCCTTCAAAGAGCGTCAAGTTTGTTGATGAAAGGAGAACTGGTTAAAAGAAGGTAAGTAAGGAAGGATAAAGCCTTTGCTTCCTCTAAGGTAAAAACTTAAGGGACAAAAGACCTTTGTCGTCTCCCTCTTCTAGTCTTGAGCTGGGTCAACAGAGGGAAAATCCTTCTGGGCTCCTGGCCCTATGTCTGTGCCTAAAATAAGTGCCCGGATGCTCTAAATAAGGGGTATGAGGAGGACACCAGAGTCTCTGGTGTTAGTGCAAGGTTGGGCTTTGTCAAATATAACAAACTCTACACTTTCTGTGCTGTTTTCTTTGGAGTAACATTCACATGAGACCGGCTGTGAAGTACTGAGTCCTTTTTGAGTCAAGTGCTAACCTGTTCATTTTACTGTTAAAAAAGGACGAATACCAACCCAGGTGTCCCCACGCGGGTTCCAGAGAGAGCCTGTACCCCCACCTGTCACAGGACTGAGGCAGCGAGAACACATGTGGCAAGACGTGAAAACAGTTGTTGAGAAAGAAATTCATAAAACGTGTCTAAATGGGCAACATGAATAATCTGAAGGGAAAGAGTATCTCTAGGTCTTCCAAGAAGACCTTCACCATCCACTCTTCCTAGTTATGGCCCTGGAAGAGCAGGTGAGGCTAATGGCTGTGTTGGTCTATCTTGACAAGTGTTGCCTGTCCTTTGATTTACATGCCTATAAGGAGAGTCTTCTGTTTCATGAGCCTGCTTTTCTGTACATCCCTCTTAACTGCACCTGTTTAAATCCTCAAGGCTCCATCAATTTTTCTTGGGTCAAGCTATCTTCTGCAAACTATGGAAGGAGATCATACTACCTGGAGTCAACCGGCATTGTACAATGACAGTATTCTAGATTCCTCTTCTTACAGAATGACTGATGCCAACTAGAAGATCGAGAGGTGGAAACGAAGGAGGAGGCCAAGAGATGTTGCACAATTCTGATGTACTGAAAAGGTCAAGTGGTTTTTGTTTTGGTAAGATCAGGCTTGAAAGCAGTGGATATAGCTTAGGGGCTTTACTCTTCATGGACATACATAAGAACTAGCATCCCACACCCAAAACCCTAATCTGAGCTCGCTAACATGTTTCAAAAGTCAATGATTTCACTGGCTTCTAAAACAGACTGGTTAAATACATCCCTATTATAATCTAGATCCATTCTAAGTCCTATTTGTCATGACACACACACTAAGAACTTGGTCCTACATATCTTTCATTATTTTCTTAGGTAAGTTGAATAGAATCTTTTCAGATAATCTACTTTATCTTAAAAAAAATATTTTCTAAGAGCAAAGTTCATTGTCACCTGACTTGGGTGGGGGGAGCATTTTCCATGCCTACATATAAAAATGTTCTTCAAGCACTTTCTAAGATGAATGACATAGCTTTGCAGAAACTAGCCGTGTTGCTTAAAATTACCTTAATTCACCACCGAGAAAAGAAATATTACTTCTCAGCCAAGTCTGTTGTAACTGTGAGTAACTGAGAAAGCGAAAAAATGTAGGTTTCACCTTCACTGGCAAAGCAGTTAAATATGTTATGTCTCCTGTGATTATCTGGAGGTCTACACTAATCTAGCAGTAAAAGTAGTAGTGGAAGACTTTCAATTAATAAGGAGGGCGGGCTTCTAAGAAGTGCTTAGGGTGCTTAGAGGCCTCTCAGAAATCCTCGGCTAACCAGGCCTGCGTTCAGCTAGGGCCCAAAGGGGTGGTGCTGGCTGGGCTCTGGAGACCATCAAGACCACCCTGAAGTGCTTGGGGGCCTCAAGGGTTACCAGAGGATTCCTAGACGTGACAGGAAGTCTCATGTGGTGCCAAGGATCAATGCCTAGCCAGGTTCCCGAACTCTGTGTTACCTCCCTGCCACTCTCCCTCGACGAACAGCTTCGTAGGGACTCAAACAGTTGACTGAAAAGACCACTGAAGAAATTTCCCAGGACCACAGGCTCCCGGAGTTATCATGAGGAAGTTCTAAACAGTTCTAACTGAGTTATCAACAGAGGACTAAGAGCGTTACCAATGAGCTCCTTGACAGACTTCACTGCACCCCTCGTTCCTCTGTGATAGTTCCTCGAATAGCAACAGTTTTACTGACATCAAGGGTCAACTGGGCCTTCGGTTCATACAAAGCAGAACAGAACTAAACCAGTTCAGAACACCCTGGGTCAACTCAGAAAAATCAATCTTCATCTCTGATATCTGAAAATAACTCAAATCTCTCATGAAAGCTGGTCCTTTCCCTGGCGTTTGTCACTGGTTCTCTCCTGAGAGGGAGCAGGTCCATAATGAACTGCTGCTTGAGGGGGCAGGCGCAAGTGGGAGGGTCCTCACTCTCAAGGACTGTGTCATCATGTGAGACTTTTCTTGAAGACCTGGATTCCCACCTCGCCCTTCCCTTTCCTGGCCTCTCTTCAGGCTCAGCTCAGGCAGTCTGGGCCACACAGACCAGCAAAGAGGGATGCTGCTGTTGGAGGCAAGATGGTCCCTGAGGGAGCGCCTTCTGAGACATTTCATCACTGAGCTTATGGGAAGACATTCCAGGTCAAAGATGAAGAGGAGAGGAGGGGGGAAAGGAGGATGAGGGAGACGGGGGTTTGGGAGAAGGAAGAGAGAGAGAGAGAGAGAGAGAGAGAGAGAGAGAGAGAGAGAGAGAGAGAAATCTGTTAAACTACAAATGAACCCCTCTCTGAATATGAACACACAATGGGTGTACGTGCTAAGGAGCGAGTCCCAAGGCATAGCCTGGTCGCTGGATGCAGGAGAAACTGCTGCTGATTGCAAGGAAAAGGAGGTTTGCCAGGAACACCAGACAGGCAGACCAGAGTATTAACAGGAAGGAAGGGCCTTTCTGTGTGAGAACTTTGATAAATGCCCTTTGCCGAGTTAGAAGATGTGGGAACATATTTTTGAGCCATATCTATTTATTATTTTTGTTTTTTTGGGGGGGGTCATATCCAGCATTGCTCAAGGGTTACTCCTGGCTGTGCACTCAGGAATTACTCCTGGAGATGCTCGGGGGACCATATGGGATGCCAGGGATCGAGCCTGGGCTAGCCACATGCAAGGTAAATGCCCTACCCGCTGTGCTATCACTCCAGGCCCCTTCGTGCCTTATTACAAGCAGAATGAGGGCCTTACATGGCCTTAAGCATCTGTGATTTGTAGAAAAAGCCGAACCAAAAGGGCACGGAGCTAGAGTAGGTCCCCAAACAACCCATCAGGATCTGCTGCAGTGACTTGGAGAGGCACACCAGGGGATACTCATCTTTCTAACAAACCAAAATTTGTTGTGAGGGTCCCCTGAGCATCGATGCTCAGGTAAGTGGCTTCCAGTGGACAATGGCCGGGCCAAGTGAACTGAACTCACAGGAACCGTCTGCCAGTTAGCAGGAAAGAAATGACTAGGTTTGCAAAAGACTGAAGACACGGAGATACAGCCAATATGCCAAAGATATTTATCATATTCTTCCATGGAAGTGTTGACTATTGTGAAAGAAAATTAGAAAAAAAACACATTATCAAAAGCCATCCATCAACTCAACGAGCAGAGGGTTGGCCCAAGCCTAAATAATCCTTTTGGCTCCGTGTCCTTCTCATCAAGGGACCCTTGCCCTGAACCCTATGGATGAACTCCTGTGCAGGTAGCTGGGTCCTGAAGACAAATACAAATGGCAAGGAATACACCAGCCAGCTTCCTTGGTTGGTTGGTAGCAAAGACATGTCCGGGGCGTTCTCTGGGGCAAAGATGAATGTACTGGAATCACACCCTACCACAACAGACACCCCCAAAGGTCACCCTTCCTGGAGGAACAGGGAGCCCCGCCCCAGAGCTGAGCACCTTAGACTCACCCCACCCAGCGGGGCATACTCACCAGGCTCTCGGGTCGTGTTTCGGCTGCTTGGCTTGGGTGGAGGGATGGGGGCCTGCTTACCAGGAGACTTGGTGTACTTTTTACTAGGAGGCACTTCATCACCCTTGGGGCCGGCCCCAGCAGAGGCCCCTTTTGGAAGCTCAGGTGTTTTTTTGGGCTTAGGTTTGGATCTAGACTTAAGGTGAGCTGGAGCAGGTGAAACAGCTGTCGCTTTTGCAGAGTGGTTTTCAGTTTTCTCTACAAATGAGAAAGTGAACAGAAGCAGACTGATACAGACACACAGCATAAACAGAAGGAGCAAGATATATGGAGACAGTGATACCAACACATGGCTGCTTTGGCCCTGATGAACCAGCGAGGAGCTCTGCTGAAATCCAGAGGTAAAAATCCAGGCTGAAAGCCAAACGGGGGCCGGTTCTCTGGGGACATGAACCCCTCTAGTGACAAAACCGGGTTGCACAAGCGACAAAGTTACCTTGAAGACGAGTGTAACTTTCCACAGCTGGGGGCCGTTCCAGCTCCAACCGGAAGTTGGTGGATGATGACATGGGCATGAATATTGAATTTAAAGACCGAGGTAAGAATTGAACAGCACTGGCAGGCCCTCCAGGTAGATAATCAGTGCTTTACACACCCTGACATGGGGAGAGGACTCACTGTATGACGATGACTAATCTCAGAGTTCCCTTTATAACATTGCGGAGGAAATTTCTTTCTCCCAAGAGAACTCAAGCCCCATCAACCTGGACAGGGATTTTGGTGTTCTGTCTCATTGTAGCCAAAATTCAATGATATCCTAAGTAAGGGAGTAAGGGAGGCTCTGTAGAATGTTTCTACACGAGTCACAATGCACAATGGAATGAACTACTTTCTACCATTTTTTTTTTTAGGGCGCTGGCGTAGTTTCCTGTTTAATAGCTACTTTCTCCGACCTCTGAGGACAGGGCCACGATTATAGATACAGAGAGCTCAGAAGCCAAATATATGTATATATATATATATATATATATATATATATATAGCACAGCGGGTAGGGCGTTCGCCTTATAAGCGGCCAACATGGCTGACCCGAGTTCGATTCCTCCGCCCCTCTCGGAGAGCCCGGCAAGCTACCGAGAGTATTCGATATGCCAGACACAGTAACAACAAAGTCTCCAATGGAGACGTTACTGGGCCCGCTCGAGCAAAACGACGATCAATGGGAGGGCCTTTACCTTACCTTTATATATATATTTGGTAAACACTGAAGTCAATGTTTGAATTAGACAGAGATTATGATTCAGGGAAAAACATGCAAAGAGCAGGAGCTCCTCTCAAGGAAAGCAGGGAAGAAACAGTTCTAAAACTGTAGGAAAGTGGAGGGTACTGAGTGTTCATTCATTCATTCACATTTCATATTTCCCCCCTCTTGAATGTTATTAAATTACAATTCTGGTTCAAAGAGCCAAGCAGATGTTCTTGAAAAGTGAAATACAAAGAAAAAAAAAGACAAAACATAAGACAGTGTTAAGACAATGTTAAATCTTTACTGACTATGACCAATCACTAGTGAAAGACAAATACTGGCATGCATCATGTTTTACTGTTTTTTATTCTGTTTATATATTGTATTTTGTTTCATGTGAGTGGTGGCTTCTTCCTGGCATTTGTTTGTCTGTTTGTTTGTTTGTTTTTGGAAAAAATAAGACCCACATCCTACAGTAATCCACTATATAACCATAAAATGCTTTATGTTACAGTAAGTCATCACTCAGCATTTCTTCTACCTTGCCTAGGAAAACGTCACTAGACCCAAACTAGCCCCCGATCTCTGACCTTATTCATAACTGTTCTCCCAGCTCCTCATTGGACATTCCTCAGAGGCTACTTTACATGTCTACCCATCTGTCTGTCTGTCTCCCTGGGCAACTCATCTCCTCATCCTGAGCTGCTACTAACCTTTAGCACAGTAATGGCTCACCTAACCCAGGTCGAAACCAGAAACCCAGTGAACTTTTAAAATAAAGGTTAACAACAAAATGAGCCGAGTTTCAAGTAAAACATAAATAGACATGGTTAGCTTTTTGCTGTATCACACAGGTCTCCTCCTTGGAATGTTCTGTGTAATTCTGCCTGGAGTGCAAAGCAGCGGGGAGACCAAGCCCCATGATGCCATCTATGATGAGACCCACCAAACTGTTGTTACTATCTTAATTCTCTCTCATACTCCACATCCTTGAGTATCTTAGACTCCCTCTCATGCATGCCACACAGGAGCCATTTTTTTTCCCTTTCTACTCAAGGTGTTAACTCTAAAGTTACACCGACGAATAATCAATTCTGGTTTGGGGAAAGAGCAGACAGTTCTAGGACAGTTAAAAATGACAATCCCTAGTGGGTTGAGGGTGAAAACACAGCACACAAACTCGTAGTAAGTTGCTTGAAAAAGCACAGCACCCCCCTTCCTCTGAAACTTCTGTTAGTTATCTGTGCTGTGTTTGCCAGATGGCCGTGTTTATGTTTACAAATGATGACTCCTAATGGATGGATGTGCGTTTTCGTGCATGTATATACATAACAATATGCTTCTTGACTGAATCATAAGCTCCTTTTGTTTGAGATGCTATAGCCCATCAGTGTTTAAATATTATGGCTATCAAATGGATACGGCAGATTGTCTGCCAGTTATTAACATACATTCATAGAGAACTATATATAACACATTACTGAAAAACAAACTCTTCTCTTGGATCTGGGAGATAATGAATTAAATTCTCCTTCATGGTACTACCATGATTTGAAGACACGATCTAAACTGTGGTAAACAGGAGAGCAATCTCTTTAAGAGATGGTGAAGAAATTCTGCCTGTTCGTTCTGGCTTGATTCTGGGTATTACTTCACAACACAGAGATTCTGCAGCTGGTTACAATACTTTCTGGCTTGACTCCTTCTATCACATGAAGGTACAATACAATAATACTTAAAGTCTGAGAACTGTGGTCTGTGTTCTGCCCCCATCCCTCCCCTTTGCCTAGCACATATTCTTCAGGTCTCAGTTTGGAAACATCTTCCTCCCAGAACAGATTCTGGTCCCTGTTGCAAGCTCTCCTGGCTTGCTCACTCAAGCCTTCCAAAACATTCTACAACATGGTAATTGCTTTTGGCATGCTGACCTCCTTGGAGGGCATGATCAGCTTGAGGGCAAAGGATATTTTTCCTTCACCACTCTTTCCTTAGTTCTTAGAAAAGTGAACCTTAGTTGTTACTGATAGAACAAAGATTGGCCATCACTGTTATTCCACTGAAAATCCTCTACAACTCAACAGAAAGAATATCATGTAAATTTCAGAGTTCCCCTGAAAAAAATCTATAACCATCTACAGATCAGTATTTCTACTTCTTTTATATTAAATGGTGCTTACTGATAAAGAATAATGGAAGGCTAAGAGTATGAAGTGTTCAAGGAAGAATCTACAGCATTGGGAAGAAGAGGCCCAGGATCAGAGTACCAACTCCAGAATCAGATGCCTTCCTTAGGGCCGGGTACAGCACACATCCTGGATGAAACCTACCCAACAGGACAAGTGTTAAGAATAGAATTTTTTTGTTTGTTTGTTTATTCTGTTGAGACTAATGTTTCAAATATTAAAGTATTTCCATGTCTAAAAAAGAGACCTAAGCATCTGGGATTATTGTGTAATGTGATAATTTCACAAATACAACCAACTAGTAGAAGAAATAATACTCTTAGAAAGTTAGCTTACTGCTAAAGAAAAGGGGGCTTTATACTCCCGAACAGAAGGATAAGTAAGAACATTGTGGCTCTGCATGCTGGTGAGTTCAAATAAAAAGTCAGACAAGAAGAGGAAAGGATTTTTTTAACTAAAAAACTCTATGCTATCTTTTCAGAGAAGGCATTTGCAATTGAACATTATATGCAATATTCATCATACATGACATTCTTTATGGTCTCAAGAGATAGCTTCCCTGTAAAATCATTCCCTCATATTTCTTGGGGGGTAGGTATGGGGGCTATACCTGGCAGTGCTTAGGGCTTACTCCTAGCTCTGAGCTTAGAGGTCACTCCTGGCATGCTCGGGGGACCGTGTGGATTGCCAAGAATCTAACCCACCCTACCTGCTGTATGCTCTCCTCATCAGCCCCTCTCATTCTTCTGTGGTTTCAGAGGTGTGGGTTTGCAAAAAGTGGGAGGTCACGCTGCCTAATAAGTGGGGTGGTAGAATTTTCAGCATTTCTCTTTCCTATGTACAGACTAGTCAAGCAAGATGTTATCTTGAACCTTTTTTTTTTATCACAAAGAACCGAATGCACAAGTTCTCAGTCAAGAATGATTTAAACAAAAGCACCTCTCAGAAGTCCATAGATCTCCGTGATCTGCCTTCTTCTTCTTCTTCTTTTTTTTAAAAAAAAAAAATATCAAGGCCTGCTAGTTTAACTGACATAAAACTGTCAACAACTTTTTATTAGGTTGATAAAGAAAACACTTCCTTTGAAGTTTGACCAGTTCACTGATTGACACCCCATACCAACCAGGCAAGCAGAGAGATGGTTCTGTTTCCTAATGAAGGATGTGATTCCTGAATGCAAAAAAACTGTACTCACGGACAAACCACAGATGGACTTGAAATTTAACAGTTTGATGAGACAGGACAGTCAGACTCATAAGTAAATAAATACATAAGCGAACATGAATTGCACTAATGCTTTAAAGAGAATCTCCTTACAATCTATTTAGGTCTATTTGCTCTTTAACTTCCAGGAATGTCACTCCTTAAGATACTAATTTCTTATAATCAGGATTCATAAACTGAACAGGACTTCTTTAAAGGGAGAAGTAGAATTTCAGGAATATTTCACTTAACACTGAATAACACAAAATAATGAATTTCCAACAGTTTATTACTAGAGACTTTATAAAATTTTAGAGGGTATTCATGATGCAAATCATGAGGAGTTACAGATTTCAAAGAAGGTGATCTTAAGTTACAAGGTCGGGCAAGAGCTTTTTTATCCCTTTGCCTTAGGAACATTTTTTTAAAAGTAAATTACATGGTTTTATTTTTATTTTCCTAAGCATTTTCAAAATGCCTCTAGAACTCCAACTCATTTGACCGATTTTTGCACTCCAATTCTAAGGACAGGAAATAGTCATTGTGTCAATTTCCATACTTCACTGGAATCATGCCAACTCTCCCAACAAAGCCTACCTACTTGGGGTTTCAATTCTTGCTAGCATATGTAGAAAGACTAAAGGCTCCATCCACATAGTAAATGGAGATGTGACTGACCAATGAGTGACCAGGAATTCGTGGATGTTCGCAGGTACTTGCCCTGTATCTCCACATTCAAACTCGAAACCAAGTCATCTAAGGAAGTCCCAGAGAACCACATCATGAACTCTGGCACATTTTGAGGTTTCCAACTGCACAGACATATCATGGAGGCAGGCTGGCGGCAGCTACAGAAACCCAAGTCCTCAGATGGCCTCTTCAGAAATGCTGCAAGTGCTGAAGGCCCTGCAACTCAGGATTATATGGGTGCTACCTGTCGAACTCCTAAGGCCAGAGAACGAGTGCGGATTTGAAAATGTCACCTGAGTTTCCACATTTCTCCATACTGAGTGCTCACCTGGGACAGTTATGGCAACAGAGAAAGATGCTCAGACTGCTAGCATTTATTTTAGAGAAACTAAAAAAAAAAAAAAAAAAGCTCCTGAGGAAGGAAATCTTTAATGTTTGAAAAAGAATTGTATGTTAATTGTCTCTCTGGAATAAAAAGTGAAATGAGATGTATGTAAAACAGAGATGTATCTAACTTTGCACCTTTTTTCCCCGCCTTTTTCTCTAGCTATCATTTCTCTCCTCTTTCTGCTTGTTGAGCTCTACTTGTAGAAGGTTACGGGATGTCTTTGATTTTTTTACCTTTCTTATCTTCTGCCTTTTCTTCCAGAGGTGGCGCCTTCTCAGCTAGAGAGCCATTACCTTCTTCAGATTTTACTACAGTTTCCTCTCGGGCAGATTCCTCGCCGATGGGTATCATGTGCCCGTTTGAGTTTTCAAAGTTAACTGTCACATCTCCATCTAAAATGGGGAAAGAAACACCTAGATGTCTAACTGGGTGGCATTCTAAAATCCCATTCTTCATCGTTCGAGGACCACTGGGTTCAAGTCCCTGTTTCAGACCCTGAGAACAAAGCGTATCTGCTTCTGTTACACCTGATTATCCTCAAAAATTCATTCAGGTGAAAGAACTAGGAAACTCTGTCTTGGCCCTGGGGGAAAAGCATCTAAGGAGGAGATAAGCCAGGCTCACTTCAAGACAGCAGAAATGAAAAACATCCCAGGCGCTAGAGACCCTTTCTCTAGTACTTAGGTTTGTTGAAGTTAATGCTTAGTTATTCAAAAACTGAAAGTCAAAAAGCAGTAATCTTAAAACAAAACAAAAAGACATTTTAACAAAAGCACAAAATGAATGCAAATACACAAATAACATGGAATGTAATCACACATGAAAACAATCAGTGGGAAAAGATGAACATTTCCGAGTTAGGATACTGCATCTGTGATAGGTAACTTAACATAGTAATAGAATACGATTTAATAGCCAGGAAAAAGATAATAACAAAGTTAATTTTAATTTTCTGATTTATAAATATATTAAAATGTATTCAGGTAACTACCATCTCCAAGTGACAAAAAAAAAAAGCCTAAAATTTAGGAGCCTGGGGGAGAATATGAGAGATCAGGTGTTTGCCTTGCATGCAACTGAGCCTGGCTTGATCCCAGGTACTGCATAACCAGGAGTGATCTCTGAGCACAGGAAGAGAAATAAGCCCTGACCACAGACAGGTATGGCCTAAAATCCCCCTCCTCTATAAAAAGTCTTACATTGGTCTAGTATTAATTGGAAAACAATTGAAAAATATTGAAAAAGAAATTAGAAGAATTAAATCATACATTCGGAGAGCCCGGCAAGCTACTGAGAGTATTCGATATGCCAGACACAGTAACAACAAAGTCTCCAATGGAGACGTTACTGGGCCCGCTCGAGCAAATCGACGATCAACGGGAGGGCCTTTACCCTTAAATCATACAAAGCAATTACTTTAATATATTACCTAAATCATAAATAACTAAATTCATCCCCTGAAATTTTAAATTTCTAGGAGTTTCTAAAATGAGACTTTGCACAAAGTATAATTCATTGATGCTTGAAAAAAAATCAACCCTAGTTCAGAGCTAAAAATCTTGAGGAGGCCGTCTACAATTATGTAAGAATTTAAAAATTCATGGTTTAACTTAGCAAACTTGAAGAAATGTATAGTTAAGATCAGTTTTATAAAATTCTTATTTTTTAGAAGCAGAAAACATTACAAACATTTTCATTAGAAAACAGAGACCATTAGAAAACAGAGACCATTAGAAAACATTTTCATTAGAAAATATTTTCGTTAGAAAACAGAGACCAACTTATAAATTATTATTCTGTATAACTGCACTGCTTTGTATATACATATGTATATGTAAAACTTACTGGCATTCTGAACAATAACAGGCAAGGAATTAAGTAAGTAAAATACATATCATCGAATTATCAAACTCAAAATGAAAAAAGAAACTATTAGTCATGGAAATTCCCAAGAACCTATAACTTAATTCCTATGTAAAGCTAAAATAGACAATAACTGAAGCAATGTGACTGAAAATAAATCTTAACAATTTCAATAAAATGAAGGTAACATTTTTAATATCAAACCAAAAAAGAAATAAAAAGATTCTTAGTTCTTATTATTATTGGTCCCAAGAAATTTATTATAAAGATATAGGAGTAGACACAATTGAACGTGAGCTATCAGATACAAGAAAATAAAACTAATGTAAGAATTAAAAAATAAAGGGCTGGAGAGACAATACAGTGGGGTAAGGTGCTTGCTTTGCATATGGCTAACTTGGGTTTAATCTCCAGAACTACATATGGTACCCAAAGATCAGAGGAATGCTCCCTAAGCAGAGAGCTGGGAATAAGATCTGAGCTGAGATAGGTGTGACATTTCAACTCATCTCCCTAATACTAATATTAAACTATTACTAATACTAATACTAATATAAATCCAAACTAGAAAATTGTATAAAAATCCAGTTGTTAAAAAAATCGTATTCTTAGAAAACCAAAATATAAATATACCTTTGCTTTCTGACTCTAGCTAGTAACAAAATATGTTTAAAACACTTTAAAAATGATTCAATTTTGGGGCTGGAGCAATAGCACAGTGGATAGGGTATCTGCTTAGCACGCGGCTGACCTGGGTTTGATTCCCAGCATCCCATATGATCCCCGAGCACTGCCAGGAGTAATTCCTGAGTGCAGAGCCAGGAGTAGCCCCTGTGTATCACCGGGTGTGACCCAAAAAGAAAAAAAATTCTATTTTGTTTTAATGATTAGTCTATTATACTTCTTATTATGTAAATAACTTGATTTTTCAAATTAAGAACAAAAAAACTAGAGAAAATTAAATGACAGGGTGGGAAATGATGTTAGATAATTATCACAAGACAGAAACAGTCATCATTAGGGAAAGATACTTTGTGGTTTGAGCTAAAACTAGTGCACATAAAAATAACTAGGAAAAGGAGATACATTTGTGATAAAAAAAAAAGGAATTCAAGAGTGAAACACAGGAGAACTGCTATTGTTGATAGTTAAATGGTGTACATATTTTAAAAAGAGACTTTTTAGGTTTGCGTCTTATCTAGAATTAAAATAAATCCTTGGCAAAGTTTGTGCATACATAAAGTTAAAGCTCAGCAAAGGTAGGAAAACCAGATCACAAGTTACAGTAAAGAGGTCCACACTTAAGGGAACCATTTGTATGTAAGTGAAGGCAAAAACTCAGAGAAGAGCCATAATTTTAAATTTCCATACCCAGTGATATCACTTCTTGGCACCGTATCCTCAAAACACAAAAGCACCATTAATTTCAAAAGAATATATTCACATCTATGTTCATTGCACACTTAGTAGAATAACCAAGATATAGGAATTATCCAAATGCCCAATGACTCTATGGATTAATGAATCAAGAGAAGCTGTGGTATAAATACACACACACACACACACACACACACACACACACAGACATGAAATATTGGGCAGCTCCAGGAAAGAATACAATCATGCATTTGTTGCAACATGGATGCACCTAGAGCGTATCATGCTGGGAGATATCAGTCAGAAGAAAAGGGACAGATATAAAGTGCTCTAGTTCAAATGTGGAACTTAAAGATGCACAGCAAGGTAGCAACAAAGGGCCACAGGCAACACAACAGCAGATCTGATCCACAAAACTGAATTTGTGGATGGGAAATTGAAAGGGAAAGGCATTGGGGACCAAAGGAAAGAGAGGTAGGAACACTGGTGATGGGGATCGTATTGGATTTATACATAGGGACGCATCATTAACAGCATTGTAAATAAGAGTATCTCAATCAATCGAAAAAAAAAAGTTAAAAAAATATAAAGTAAAACAAGAGACCAAGTACGCATGGCACAGAGTGGTTAGGTAAGGAGCAGGACAATCCATGAAGGGTTCACTCCGTTCTGAGAAGTTGTTACGATAGAGTTAACAGAGTAACAGAGATGAGGGGGAAATCTGGATAACCAAAAAGTGAATGGCCCAAGATTAGACTGCAAAGTCTACCAAGGCAGAAGAGGAAGGAAGCTGGCAGGCAGGCAGAACTGTCTACCTGCCCTCATGTACAAGCAAAGAGAAAAGATGAAAGAGAAGAACCCGAAAATAAGGACTGAACTTGTGTTGGATCATGGACTTCCCCAGGAGGAAAGAACAATCACTGAATGTTAGGACTGAAATTAGAATTTCGTGTTAAAAAACAAAACAAAGCAAAAACCCAAAACCCTTAAAAGAAATAATAAAAATTAGCTGGAGCAAGAGTATGCGGTAATTTAGGGAAAAGGTCAAAGCTAGGGTCATTGAAGGGATTGGAAAATCACCTGGCTCACGGAATAAAGGGCATACTTGACAAGCACTGTCACAGATCCAGCAAGGTCAGGAAGATCAAGGCAAAGAATGAACCTCAGGGACAGAGACAGGGCACTGTCACCAAGGATGGCAGCTTCCAGGCTCTGGCTAGAGCTAAAAAGAGACTGAAACGCTCAGGTTGTTTCAGAAAAATGTCGAAAAATCATTTTCTCTAACCTTCAGCTGCAAGGGGGCTGGGGAGGGGGAACAGCTCTATTTATAAGTGGAAGGAACAAAAACTTTCAAATATTAGGCAATTTCTACAAAGAAGCCATGCAAAAAGGTGGAAACTAAAATTCAGTAATTTATGATATCCTTAACATTATACTTATTACATTAGGCTCAGTTTAAAAATTGCTCTTTCATGTCCTAAAACTTTTCATGGTAAGCTTGTGAATGTTTAAAAAAAAAAAGGCAAGTTAGGATCGGATTTCTGTGTAATTAGGATGAAATTACAAGCCATCATACAATTAATTTAAGCACAGTAGGAAGACTAAAAATTAAGGACTCATAAGCATTCCTTTCTACTGAAAATTGCTTGTTTTTAGTAAATGTTAGCTCCTTTCTATCTATAATTTTAATTTTTATCTCCTTTTTTTTTTTTTTTTTTTTTTTTTTTGGTTAACAGCAGCTAGGGAAAGTGAGAAGTGGAAGCTAATGTGGTTTCATTTTATTTTGTGATGCTGGTGTTTGTCCCCCCCAGTATCTCAAATATACAAAGTTTGTGCTCTATCACTAAGTTACATCCCAAGGGCTGCTCCAGTTTTTAAAATAAACTTTAAAAAGTGTTTGTGTTTGTGGGAAACACCTTTTAAGTTTCATCTTTATTATTATTATTTGTTTGTGGGGTGGAGGCACATCTGGCGGTGCTCAGGGCTTGCTCCTGGCTCTAAACTTGGAATTACTCCTGGCAGTGCTTGGGGACCACACAGGATGTCAGGGATTGAACTGGGTCGGCTGGTGCAAGGCAAATGCCCTACCCACTCAGGCTTCTGCCTTTAAGCTCCATCTTCAATGGTCATTAACAATTTCCATTTAAAAACGTTCCATATTCTTTAAAATCTTTCTAAGACCTTCAGACCAGTGGATAGGTGCACCCCCATCAAGATGCCTATATGGCATTCAGTGTTCAAAAGCTTGAACACTGAATTAAGGAGGAACATTAGAGGGAAGAGACATTTGGGGACTGTAAGTCAACCTTCAAGTAAAAAAGGAAAATCAGGGCGGTGCATTTTTATTTTTAAAAGTCCCACAGAGGAAATAAGTAGCTGCAAGGTAACAGCAAACTAGAGAAAACATAAAGTCCATTCATAGAGCAGTGAAAAATATTTGAAGGACCTAAAACTGTGAGGGTTCAAGTAAAATGGTGCTATTCACTCCAGTCCTTCTGACTTCCTTTGAAAACGGAGTGAAAGAGGAGGAGGGTATTTCCCAGCTCCATTCTGGAAATATTCAGGTGTGGGAGAAAGTGGGTCTGTAAGGTTTATAAATAGTGAAAGCCCGGTGATACTTCACTTGCAAGGAACATATAGTAAGAAAAAAGAAGTACTATTCATTTCCAAATTATGAAGACTTTATTCATTCCCACTAAGGTACAACACTATGAGACCTGGGGTGTATGGAACTTAGTGGGAGAGTGAATGTTTGCATGTTTGAGATCCTGGGTCTGATTCCTGGCACCCACCTCCCCTAAATACGGTTAAGAATACTTTGCCCTAATAAATGTTGGAAGAGGCGCATGAAATAAATCAACCAGACAGCAACAACAAAAAAAAATGCCCTGCAGTTTCAATAGTAGTAGGAGTAATGCAAACCATTTGTTTTCATTTATTGGGGTTTTCTTTTGAAAATCTATTTTTAATTCTATCTAATCCTTGTCTTTTTGTTGTTGTTATAGTATTACTCCTAGCAATGATAGAGGGAAAAAAGGGGAAGATTAGAGTTAAAAAGAAGTAGGACTATTAATTGTTAGTGAAAAGATTAGAGTCAACTAGATTCAGAGAGATGAAAAGAACAATACTGGAGAAATTACTTGAGTGAAGGCATAGAGCAGATTAATTTGTCCACTCAAGCCTTCTGGGTTGTACATCTGACTGTATTACAGAGTTGATAATTCCAGTGAGACAAGGGACACTAAGGTCTCTTTTCTCTTGCTTTAATTTTCTGGCAAACTTAAAAAAAATAAAAAAGGTAAGAGCCAAGGTAAAACTTTGCATTGATTCAACTTAGTGAAGTTGCAGAGTATGACTGAAACTCAAGAATAAAAGGGGAGTCGTGGAAACACCTGAATCTCAGGCCACACAGTAACTCTACGGAGCTTACGGGTTAGAGCACTTGGTGAAGGACTCACCTCAGAGGTCACTGAATTTCTTTTCAGTCCACCTCAGATTCTACATTTAAAGTGGCATTCTTGGAATACAATACTCAAATGCTTTCTCTCTCAAAGACCACGATCATCTTAAAGGTCAAAATAAAATGAAATAAAGTGATATTCTTCCAAGCGTAGGATGAATGTCCTTACCTTGGTCAGGTAACTCCTTAAGAACACCCCTTCTGATCAGCTCCTCTCTGCTTTGTCTGGTAGATATCTTCCTTTCCAGTACTTTAGAAAAAGAAGAAACACATAAGAACCATGGCACTTCTTACAATAAAGACATATTCCAAGTCAAACTGAGTGCATGCTCATTCTGTTCACTTGGGGGTTCAACCCCCATTTTTTCTTGTTGCTGAACACAATGTGTAACTGGAATTTACACAATTAAGACAAAAGTGGGCCTGGGTTTCCCTGCCTGGTGCCTGGTCTCAAATGATGATGTGTGGCCCAGGAATCCAGAACCTCTTTCATATCAACCATGGAGCACAAAGACAACTCAGGTTAAAATATTCTTGTCTTTAGTAATTGCCCTATATCCATGGAGAATATGGCCCCAGAGTCCAAGTAGATGATAAAAATCCTGCAACAGTGTTTTTCCCTACACATATACACACAGATCTGTAATATAGAAATTTAACATACAGGCTAAGCACAGTCAGTGATTAAAAATAAATAATACTAATAGCGGGGGAACATAGATGTGGTTCAGTGGTACATCACATGCTTCACAAGTGTGAGGTCTTGGGTTTGATCCCTAGCACTACAGTTAATTCAACGACTCATTAAAATAATTAGAGCAATAAAGGTAAATATGTCTCTCTCTTTCTCTCTTTCTTTCTTTCTCTCTCTCTCTCCCTACTTCTCCCTGCCCTACATGCAGGAGGCTTGGATTTGATTCTCCTCCACAGACATGGTCCCCCAAGTATACAGAAGCAACATCCTGAGTAACAACCTGGAAACAGCAGCAAAAATAAAAAGCAAATAAACATAATAACCTATAATTTTTGGACTGTGGTTAACGGCAAGTCACTGAAACCTCAAATGCAATGTCCACAAAAGGGACCAACATAAGATGCATTTCAGAAGACAGGCTTCCAAGAATACTCAGTGAAGGTAGCAGATAAGTGTGCTCATTTTAAAACAAATGAACAAAGGTCAGAGAAATAACTTGCCTTACATTCAGCTAACCCTCTATTCAAATCCCTGGCATTGCAAATGGTCCCTGGAGTAGCTCCAGGAATGATTCCTGTGCACAAAGCTAGGTGTAAGCCCTGAGCACCTCCAGGTGTGGTCCTCTAAAACAAAACAAAAATACCCTAAAACCTTATGAATGAGTTTCAGTTAGTAATAAGACATGGCAGGGGCTTCCAGGATGTTTCCTCTCTCATAGCATCCATTACAAAATTTCAAAGGCTCATGGGGCTGGAGAGATAGTACAGCGGGCAGGCACCAGACTTGCATACGGCCAACCTGGATTCAATCTCCAGTATCCCACATGGTCCACAGAATACGGGTTGGAGTGATTTCTGAGTGCAGAGCTAGGAAGAATCTCTGAGCATTGTCAGGTGTGGACCCCATCCAGATAAACAAACAGAAAGTTCAAGACTTAGATTTCTGCGATTTTTTTCTCTTACCCTTCTCACAAGTTCTGATACTTCTCTGAGCAACCCCAAGTTTTTGGAAGATTGAGCTAAGTCATTTCTCAGATTGCAAAGAGATGAGCATCTTAGCGGAGCAAGCCCACATGCTGAAGGCATCTGGATCCTTGAAACAACATCAGAATGGAGGTAGGATTTTGGTCCTTTGCACTTAATCTATATAAAATGAGTTCCCAAACACTCAAGCAGCTATGAAACCACCAGCTCCCTTCCTTACTCTCAGATGCCAAGAAAGCATAGAAAGTTCATGCAGACCATGTCATACTAGTTCTTCAAGTCAACATTTCCCCACTTCCCAGGACTCTACTCTCTCTGGATCCTCCGTGCAAGACACCCCAACAGAGCAGAAACGGACCAGCGAAGAAAGGGAAACTTCATTTTTAAAAAAAATTTTTATTAGTGAAACACCATGGAGGTACTGTTGTAAACTTACACATTTTTGTGCTTGGGTTTCAATTATACAATGATCAAGTACCCATCCCGCCAACAGTGCCCATTTTCTACCACCACTGATCCCAGTATCCCTCCTACTCCCCCATCTGTAACAGGGCATTCCCTTTTGTTCTCTCTCTCCTTTTGAGTGCTTTGTTTTGCGAAAGAGGCATTTGAGTGGCAATCATGTTCATCTATAATCTACTTTTAGCATGCTTCTCCCATCCTCGGAGGATCCTCCCAACACCCTTTATTTGGTGCTCCAGGAAGGGAGACTACTTTAGGGAGGAAGAAAAAGATTTATTGGTGAACACTGGATGGCTTAATATTCCTGCCCCTGGCCACACAGACTAACAATCCTAATGCCATCCTCAACAACACAGGACCAAGACCCAAACTAAACCCCACAACTCCAAGCCAGGCTCTGACACCTACACACACAACTTGTAATAAGACAAAACGCTGAGAGGGAGAACGAGTGTTCCAGGTGACCGGGACACTCTGAAGAGAGGGAAAAGAGGGAAGGGCAGGTCTCCAGCTGGGCCAGGAACGTTCTACAAAGTCCAGAAGAGGTCTTCAGTTAATGTTAGCAACTATACGAGTCCCCCAAAACAGAACTTAATCTCTTTTGAAGAATTTGGAAATTTTTTCCCTTTCTGGTAACCAAGAGTCATAGGCTTCATTTTTATCCTGCCCACCACAAAGGCTAGTGCAAAACCTGGGATGAGCACAGATTTTATACCCTGATCTATAGATAGGAACTGTTTCCTCCCACACAGTGACCCGACTTCATTTCAATTTGATCTACAGCATATGTGCTCTGTGCTCTAAGTTGCCAAACATTTCGGGTTATAGAATCAGAATGTAAACAAACAAGAAGATGAAGGAGGACTAAAAGAATGATTGGTAACATCTGACTGATTTATTTAGAAACATTTTTTCTTTCTGGTTGAAGGAACACTGCATTTGAACATTATGTAAGTTTGAGGTGTGCATCATGAAAAGTCCACAATGCTTGGACTCTGCAAAAGTCACCACCAAGAGTTCCTGTTCTCCTTCACCAGGCCTGGGTCCCCTTGGTCTCAAAGCACCTACGTACCTTCCACCTTCCCTACAACCTCTGGCAACTGGTCTTACAGCCGGAAAACTTATCACTGTGTTTAGCCAACTGTTTAGTTTTTGTTGTTGTTTTTTTAAATTTCTGTTTGGGGGCCACATCTGATCGAGCTCAGGGATCACTCCTGGAGGGCTCGGGGAGCCATATATGGTGGTAGGGACTGAACCCAAGCTGCCACATGCAAGGCAAGCTAGCTCCCTTAATTATTTTGTTTCTTGATATGCCACACAGGAATGAAATAACGCAGTGTTTGTTGTCTTTCTCCATCTGACCTGTATGATGCTGACCCACTGGGTCTATCAGGCTGTTCACATGTCAGGATTACATCACACACGCACACCAACTACACCAACACACACACACACACATACACACACACACACACACACACACACAGAACCCTCCTCCCCTTTTAGATGACTCCAGACATACACACTCCACCCTTCTCTTCCAAAAGCAGTAATGACTCCCTTAAATATTGGTGTTTTGGTGCTGAAGAGATAGTATAGCAGGTAGGGTGTTTGAATTACACATGGTCGACCAACCAGGGTTCAATCCCCGACATCACATATACTCCCCTGAGAACTGTCACAAGTAATTCCTGAGTGCTGGGGCAGGAGTAACCCCTGAGTATCATCAGGTGTGACCTCAGAACAAACACACAACAAAATAATGTGGGTGTTTTCAAAGAGACAAAAAGAGCTCTTTTGAAAAAGAGAATGCTTGGCTGACACAGGTTCAATTCCCGGCACTCCATATGTTCCTCTGAGCCCACCTAGAGTCATCCCGAGTTCAGAGCTAGAGTGAGTCCGGAACACTGCCAATGTGGTCGAGAAAATCAAATTTTTAAAAAATTGATTTGAAGACTTGGATTTAACTGTGGCTGAAACACAGTTTCTATTTGTCCTGATTTTGGTGATATTTTGTCAAAGAGAACACCAGCCAGTGCCAGCAATCGCCTTGCCCCCAAGACGGTGCTAGGGATTGAATCCAAGCTGCCACATGCAAGGCAAGCTACGTCCCTTCATTATTTTGTTTCTTGATATGCCACTGGAGCGATAGCACAGCGGTAGGGCGTTTGCGTTACATGTGGCCAACATGGCTGACCCAAGTTCGATTCCTCCGCCCCTCTCAGAGAGCCTAGTAAGCTACCGAGACTATCTCGCCCGCACGGCAGAGCCTGGCAAGCTACCCGTGACATATTCGATATGCCAAACACAGTAACAAGTCTCATGATGAAGATGTTACTGGACCCGCTCGAGCAAACTGATGAACAACTGGAGGACTGTGATATGCCACACAGGAATGAAGCTTGGTAAGCTTGGTATACTGAGTAGAGGCTGCAGAGATGCAGGGTCCCCCATCTGCCCAGTGCAGAGGACTAAGCAACACACATGTCCCTCAACAGGGCTTTGAGAATGAGGGGCTTTGGGAGGCATCCCAGCTCCCAAGTGTGGGGGTGGGCCCAGAGCTTCCAGGCTCCTCTGCTCGAATGCGAGGACATAGGTGCCACCACGAGCATGAGCCAGCAGGCCTGGGGCTTGAACCACATTCTGGGAAGCCAACGCCTCACCATGACCCTCAGTGTCACAGAGGCTGTCTGCCTCTCCTCTCTTCAGACGCCCCATGCTCGCAGGAAATGAGACATTAGTCTGCGGCTTCGGACAAGTGGCCCAAACACACAATGGTGTCAGGAGTCTTAGCTTCGAGTTCTACCACTTCCGTCCCAGATTCTCACGGTTTGTTACCTGTGAACAGAACTGAGTCAACATTCCCGCAACTATCATAATATGTGATCCAGAATCCTCCCTGGAGGGCACTTTGCCACTCCTGCCTTAGGCCCCTCAGAAAATTTCCATTCCTTAATTTTAAACACCATTTATTTAAAAGGGGGCTGGAAAGGTAGTACAGTGGTTGAGGTGCTTGCATGCAGCTGACCTGGATTTGATTACCTAGCATCCCATATCCTTCTCTTGAGTACTGAGAGGACTGCTCCCTGAGCACAGAGTAAGGAATAAAAG